AAAATAGCTCTACACTCATAATTAGACAATTTGGAAAAAATGAGAAAATCACAGACTACTAAAAATGCAAAAATAAAACGGGTAACATGCATAGTCCCATAATCATTGCAGAAACAGATTTGCAATCTTAAAGTTCCTAAAAGAGAAATTTCCAAGCCCCAGTTGTTTCAAAGAAAAAAATTTCCAAGTATTTAAAGAAGAATTAACTTCAACTTCAGAGAATCTCTTCCTCTTCTCTCTTTAAGAGAAGTGGGGTTAGGGGCTAGAGAGATAATCCAGTGGTAAACCTTACATATTGCTGACCTGGATTAGAACCCCAACACCACATAACATCTCCTAAGCCCTGTCAGGAATGATCCCTGAGTGCAGAGCCAAAACAATGTCCTGAGCACTGCTGGGTGTTACCCCAAAACCAAAATAGAGAAGAAACTTCATGAAACCTTGTCAAAACCAGACAGCACAAAAAAGAAAAATTATAGATCAATAGTTCCCATAACTAGATGCACCCAAAACAGGAAGAAAAAAATTGTGATATCCTTCATGGATTAAACATTTCTTAGTAATTTCTTTTAAAAAATCAAATTCTATTCGTTAAACTATGGCACCATGCCTCCCCAGGAGGGAAAAGGTGTTGCTCCCTTCCGCCTTTCCCCCCCCAGCAGCAAGGTGGCCGCTGCCTCAGTTTATAGGAAAGCCAGGAATGAGCCGGTGGTAATGGGGCAACTGTAGTCTCATGGGAAGGGGAACGGTACCAGTTCGTCCTTCACGCCCTACCAAGGTCATGAGTTGTCCCCCACGAGCGGCTCTACTGCACAGCCATAACACCAGACGCACAGAAACCAATATTGTAATTATCTGGCTCTTTGCAGAAATCCAAAATCATTATATGATTCTCATAACCAGCTATAGAAAACAAATTATTTCACAAAGCCTTTTCAGCAATTCTGATTGTTGGGGGGAAATTCTAAACAATAATGGCGCATTCTTTATCAAAATGATGAGTGTAATCAATGTAGAGTTGAGTGGAAATCATCCGCCTCACAGGCATTGGGAGGGGGGGTGTATTGGGGTTCTTGGTGGTGAAAAATGAGTACTGGTGAAGGGAAAGGTGTTTGATCATTGTATGACTGAGACTTAAACCTGAAAGCTTAGTAACTTTTCTCACAGTGATTCAATAAATAAATATAAGAAGAAGGAAAAAAAAAGTTGGGGCTGGAGTGATAGCACAGTGGGTAGGGCGTTTGCCTTGCACATGGCTGACCCGGATTCAATTCCCAGCATCCCATATGGTCCCCTGAGCACCACCAGGAGTAATTCCTGAGTGCAGAGCCAGGAGTAACAACCCCTGTGCATTGCTGGGTGTCACCCAAAAAGCAAAAAATAAAAAAATAAAAAGGTTAAAGGTTAAAAAGTATAGGTGACATTATAATACATTTTATTTAACCTAACATATCCTTAATAACATCTCAATGCATATAAAAAAATCAAATTCTTTGACCCAGATCCTAACTTTAGCAACCCAGAAATCAAAAATTTCATCAATGGCACTAAATTATATGATTAAGGATGCTCATTGCAGTATGGTGTGCCATAAGAAAATAAGAAAGCTAAATATGAAAATAAAGAGTATCTTGTTGAAAAGAAAAAGAGAAACTTAAATATTTATCAAAAAAAATTTTAACAAGGCATCTGAAAAATATCTCATTTGGGGGCACATGCCTTGCAGATCCAAGGACCTGAGCTTGATTCTTGGACCACCTGGCCCCCTAAAGTGTAGCCCTAGAGACAGGTGAGCTTTGCGAGTTCTGCTTGTGCGTCTTCGGCATCATACCAGGTAGCCAAAGGAAGGTCACATATTAAAAATCATATAGATATGGATACAAATCCCTTCATATTAATAATTTCATTAAATGTCAATGGATTTAACTATCCCCTAAGACAAGAGTCGCAGAATGAATCAGAAAACAAAACCTAACCTACTGCTGCCTACAGGAAACAGATTTAAACTCCCATGATAAATACAGGCTCAGAGTAAAGAGCTGGAAGACAATCATACAGGCTAGTGGCAGACCCCTCCCTTCGTTTGTCCCCCCCCCCCCAAAAAAAAAGCAAATAGCAAATAGCTATTTCAGAGCAAATAGCACTCAAACTAATGAAGAGAACCAAAGACAGGAAAAAGCATCCTGGTTAAGGGATCAATATGCATCAAATGCAGGGGCAGCAAAGACTCAGCTAAGAGACTTGAGGAAATACATCAATGGCTACACAACAGTGCTGAGAGACATTAATACTCCTCTGAACACTGGACAGATCAAACAGGCAAAACTGCAAGAAGCAAGTGCCCTGAATGTGGAACTGGAAGAATTGGGTCTAATAGATATATACAGGACAATCCACACACCAAAACTGAATACCCAATTTTCTCCACTGCACGTGGGACATTCTCTAAGAAAGATCACATGCTGGGAAACAATTTGAACATCCACAAAAACACAGAAATAGAAATTATACCAAATATTTTCTCAGACCATAAAACCACAAAAGTAGAAATCAATCACTGAAAAATGTGAGGAAAAGACTAAATAGGATGAAAGGAAGAGAGGATGGCAGACTCATTTGCTGTTGGTGGAATGCTGTTTCGTCCAACGTCTATGGAAAGCAATATGGAGACTGTCATCCTCCCCACCCTCACAACCAAACAAATACAGAAATTTTATATGAACCAGCAATCCACTCCTCAACCAAAAAACATTTTTAATTTGAAAGGACATACGCACACCTATGTTCATCACAGTGCTTAGTAGAAGAGCTAATACATGGAAACAACCCAAATGCCCAACTACAAATAAATGGACCAAGAGGTTGTAGAATATAAAGACAATGGAAATATGCAGCTTTGAGAAAAATAAAAATGATGCAATTTTCTGTGACACGGATGGATCTAGAGAATACCATGTTGAGTAAAGTCAGTCAGAAGGAAAGGGGTAGAAAAATGGTGCTTGGGACTGAAGCTGGTCAGCTGCATGCAAGGCAAGAGCCTTACCCACTGTACTATTTCTCCAGCTCCAATTTATATATTTAATGTCTAATGGATTAGAATCTACTTTGTGATGGGAGTTCCTGTTTTTGCTTTCATTTCCATTTTTTGTGACATAAAGATGTCTTGAAGCATTTCCTTTTTCGTCTTCCAGGACGGCATCTTAGAGGCCTTCGGAATGGTTCAGGGTCTGTCACATGGCCACTGGCTCTCCTACAATACAGCCTCCAACAAAACCAGGTTGTCCTTTGGCCCTGGAAATAGAATTGTTTACCTTTACACCAAAAGGGTTGGGAAGGCACCGAAGTCTGTATGTGGTGTGTGCCAAGGTTGGCTTCGAGGGGTATGCACTGTGAGAACTTAAGTTCTTAAGAGGCATCTAAAACAAAAACACACATGCCAGCAGGGCCTATAGTGGTTCCATGTGTGCTATGTATGTCCAAGACAGGATAAATTGTGCTTTCCTTATCAAGGAGCAGAAAATTGTCACGAAAGTGAAGGTACACACAAGATTATATAAATATATATGTATACACACACATATATATATATATATGCATGTCTTATGTAGCAGTTTTATTTTGAACCTACTGAAAAAATTTTTGAGGCTTTAGTTATTCATATGATTGGCCTTAATTTGTTATTTCATTGTATTTTGTGTTAAAGCATCAAATTATTGTTCATTTTTCCTTTCTGGAAAAGAATCTAGGGAACTGGAGACTAGTATCAGGGTACTTGCCATGCATGTGGCAGTCCCACTTCAACCCTTGACGTATCAGTACCTCAATCGCTCCCAGAAGTGACCCCGGAGCACAGAGCTGGGAGGGGCCCTCAAGTATGGTCTCATTGGGAGCCAAAATAGGAAGAACTGTATTTTTGCTAGATATCATTATAGCCATAATTTGAGTATTCTTAGTTTTTAATATTAGTACTTCCTGTTCATTCTGACATCCCTATATACACATCCCTTAAGCATCGGTATTCTGCTTTTTCTCTACCTCCATTTTCAGTAGGGTCACTTCTTTGAGTAACATTTACAGTTTCCAGTTGCTCCATCTTTATTCGAGCCTTCTATGAAATGAAATAGACCCTTGGCTCATTTCTATCCTTTAGATAACATTCCCCACTATCAGGTGCAGCTGGTCCACAGCACAGTGCCTGGGAATGTCTCACGCATACAGTTCTGAGTTCCAATTCTCAACAGCTTTTTTCTAGAAGTTTGTTATCTGAAAGAGAGATAAATACACCTGGTCTAATTAGAGTTTTGAAGTACTACTATACCATCTGCTGTCTTCGTTTGCCCCAAAGCCCTTCTCCTCGAACCTACCTGTGAAGAAAAGGCAGCAGTGCTGAGGCTTCTTTCTGCCCCGTGATAATTTGCACCATCTCTGTAAGAGAACTCTGTAACAAGCTTCAGTTTTCATTTTCATACAAATCCGCTCTAGCATTTTTATTGGTCACAGAAGAGTGTGGTCACTCTATGACTTGACTACAAAGACAGCAAGGAACTAGAAGACAGAGGTTTGTTTCAGGACAGAAACACTTTCCCCAGTTGTTTTGGGGGCCACACCATGTGGTACCAGAGGCTCCTCTTGGCCTGTGCTTGGGGGTAGGGGTGGGAGCTCTCTGAGATGCCTGGGGGACCACATAATGCTGGAGATCAATCCCGCTGCCTGTTGAGCCACTTCTCTGGTCCGCCTGAGAACTTTTGATTCTTATGAAAAGTATATATAGCTTGAGTTTGCCATTTGGAAGTACAGAAGTTGTTGGAAAGCTGCCATCCTTTTCAAGTTATAAAAATAACTGGTATTTGGTAATCAATAGTGTTCAAGGCTTCAATCACTAAAAACCTAGGAAATTTCAGACACTATATTGAAGGTACTAACAGTTTCTAAAAACAAAAACCAAAAAGCCAAACACTGACAAGATTTTACCAGGCTTACAAAAAAAGATCAAAATCAAGAGTTTATGCAAACAGACTGGTTATCAGGAATGTAGGTTTATTTCATTAAAAAAACAAAGATTCACCCCCGCCCCCAGAGCATACTGTCCCGTCCTGAAAGCGTGATCACAAGGCACTGTGTAGGAAACACCTCAGGCAAAATAGAAACCAGACATTAAAAAATTTTACAAAAGATGTTGAAGACCATTTGTTAATATAATAGATTATAAAATAACATAATTTATTTTTAAAACAATTTTATTTACCTTTAATAAGGAAAAATGGTGTGACATATCTGCACAATCTTATGGCACAAGTCACAATCATGTGTGCCCAACTGGGTCTGCTAATGAAAAACCAGATAGCTAAAGCGCAGCTGAAAAATGTTCTGTTTCAGTCTTTCACATCTTTTTAGGTATTTGGGATTTATAAGCTGGAAAGGAAAAAAAAACTCATTTTCTTTATTTAGAAAAAGCCCTATATGTGCATATACATATAGATATGCACACACACATATATACATATATATATATAAATATATATATATTTATGCCCCTTGGCAAACCCACTATCCAAAATAGGTATACATTCAAGATGTTCTAAAATATCACAGACATAGTTATATTTTAAGATCATCCCACAATATCCCTCTTCCTGAAACAGATTAGAAGTCAATACATAATAAAATGTCATGGTCATTTATATTAAAATAAAATAGCATCTGATTTAAATTATTGCTCACTTAGGAAGCAGTCTCCAGTTAGGGATGCTAAGACCTCAGCTGTTAGAAATGGTACAACAGCAATATTTAGAGCACACAAAAATCCTATATCTCATAGAATTCAAATATATTATAATGAAAATTTATAATAATCACACAAAAAGTATTCTGTATTAGATACCGAGCTTCACGTAATAAAGACTGAAAATATGTGACTAAAGTGATTGAATTAGACCTTCAAGATATTTGGAATTTATACATTTTCCGATGTCTGTTCAAGTGTTCCTCTTAGCTTTGATGCTGCAAAGACATTTTCCTATTAAACCCTAAGGGCTGCTTGTAGCATCTTCACCATTAGGAGATAAACGGAAGCTCCATTGTTAAACAACATCATCATCCAATACGAAACACTAGTACAATGAAACGTTTAAATAGTACTAAATAGCACAATTTACATTTTGGTTTTGTGCACACATCAGTTTTCCTCTTCAAGAAATCAGGTCCTGGGCCTTCAGGTCCGTTTTCAATTCTTGGAAACGACCATCTTCTAGGTCCCGCAGAGTCCAAGTTCCTGCCTCTGTGGCTGCCCAGACTCCCAGAGCCTTCACATGCTGCTCCATAGCGACACCGAGCAGAGTCTGAGTTGTCCAGGGCGGCCACCAGCCCGAGACACCACTAAAGCAGCACTGCCTGGGCCACCTCCTTGATGGTGGCCGCCGCAGTCTCCAGCTCCTCCTCGGTCTGCTCCACTGTGACCACAACTCTAATGCTGAGAAGCGACAAAGGACATAGGAGGTCACCAGCCCGTCACCACTCCTCCCAGTCCAGCCCTCAGGAGCATGGCTGCCTGGCCACCTGTCCTTTCTACTCTGCGCCTCCTGGCCTGGCCCACATACGTGTAATCTGGTCAGTGACTTGGCAGCACCCGTCCAGGGAGCTCGGGGCACACTGTCACTTCAAGGATCTACTGTACTAGGCCACATGTCAGGCCTCCAAGGTCCGGTCTCGGCAGTACCAGGAGAACAACTCTCAAGCCCCTAGGCACGGCTGAGTGTGGCCGAAAACCAGAAGCTGCTCCCTCTGCCAGCACAGAAACCAGGCGTGATGGCACTTAAGCATCGCTCCAAGACATGCATGTGCTGAGTTCTGTTCTGTAGTAGGTGGGCGGGGCAGCAGGTAGAGGAGAGGGGGTGGGTGAGGCAGCCAACCTGGCACCCCGGCCGTGCTGTGCTGGCTCACTGCTCACCCAGGGGCCTTCTCAGGGCCCTCCTGCATGTGCCCGGGGCTCCAGGGAGAGCGACACTGCAGACGAGTGGGCAGACAGTTCTACCTGTGGGCTCAAGGCCGACTACGCTCTGTTCTATATTCTGCGATGGCCTTTGGAGAGGCAGTTAAACGAGCACATTTCCTACAGAGGCCCCGGCAGGCGAGCTCACAGTGACGCCCTGTCTGAATGCCACCAACCTGGGTGGTGGGAGGCACTTCTCTTCTTTCTCCAAGTAGCGGGCCTGCGTCAGGGCGAGGTTTCTGTTCATGCACTGTGTGAAGAAATGGAACACGTGGGCAATCGTGCTTGAGAAGCGGAGAGAAGCCCCAGGGGAGGGAGGCTCAGGGACATGCAAACCCACTGCTCCTCTTCCTCACAGGCGAAGAAGCAACGGCAATGCCACAGGCTGCTCTTCCATAGAACCGGGAGTGGAGTCCCAAGCTCACAGGCACTGCGCTCAGGGATGGTAAACCTGACGTGGACTTTACACGAACCACTGGAAGCTGCTATCCCCACACAAAGCAGTTAGGGTGATGGGAACACTGGGCAAAGCTGTGTGTGCTAACCAGGAGCTGGACTTCGGAGCCATGCCCCTAAGAACCAACTCAGGGAGAATTCACATGTTCCCCATACTGACAATGCCTTAGACCCCCACATGTGACACTTGGGCACAGAGGGTCTGGGGTTGCCCATATCTCACAGTGCAACCATGCACGAACCACCAGTCAGTACAAAAACAGAGAAAAAAAAAAGTCCAAAGTCACTACCCAAATAAAGAGAGTCTAATAAATCAAAGTAATAGGTTTCAAGAGTTTCTTTGGAACTAGTGATTTAAAAAAAAAATCACTCAACTCTGTAGTTCCAAATATTTTTGAAAGCAAAATACTTTTTAGGAAACATGAAGGGGGGAGAGAAGATAAAGGGAAGTGATAGAGGGAGAGCGGAAGAGAGAGAGTCCTTTAAAGTAAATGCAACGGTGCCAGAGTGATAGCACAGTGGGGAGAGGTTTTGCCTTGCACATGGCCAACCTGGGCTTGGTCCCTCCGTACCCCTATGTTCACCTGAGTCCTGGCAGGAGTGAGCCAAGTGCACAACCAGGAGTAAGCCCTGAACACTGCTGGTTGTGGTTCAAAATTCCCCCCAAATTAAAAGATGAACTGAAAAATCAAGTTAAAGGAATCACGAACTCCAAGTTGGGATGTGGTGACTCTACAGTAGAGTGACCGCATATAGTAAGGAGGAAAAACTGCACAACTGGAGTGAAGGCATGAGACAGCTCCCAGATGGAGCGCCCCAGCTCCAGTTTGTCCCCACAAAAGGGTCCAGGGACGTGAGCTGTTCATACCTGGCAGTGCCCATGCTTGGGACCTCTAGGGCTACCAAGTGATACCTGGGGGGTGCTATGCAGTGCCAGGGCTTGAAACGGCTCAGGCTGAATGCAAGGAAAAAACACCTTAAGCCCTATACTAACTCTCTGGCCCCTGACTTTTAAAGGTTGGCAAAACCTCAGCTTCAACAAGAATTATGGACCCATGACTCTTCCATCTACCTCAAATACTGACATAGAAGAGGGGCGCGGGACAAAGGACTCCGAGGATGGAAATGAAAGTGAATAGTTAAGACACGCCTTCTTCCTATGAACACAATTTCCAGGTTGGACCTGGCTCCCTGCCCCTCCAGCGTCTCTGGGAGTCAGCCAACAGCCTAAGCTCCCACACCCAGCGGCATGGAGTTGGTGTGTGGGGCAGTGTGTGCGGAGGGCCCGGGGATCTGTGCATAGGGCCCCCGGAGTCACTTCCTCTCCCCACTCATGCTGTCTCGGCCACTGGGCACAGAGCAGCAGGGGCGCCCTTACCTGCTGTCCTCCAGGGAGAAGGGATGGGGGCCTGAGAGGGAACTCTCGTGAGGGGCTCTGGGAAACATGCAGCAGAGCCAAGGGTCTGCAGGCTGTGCCTGCACAGGAGGATGCCAGGCCAGCATTGTGGCACCAGCAATGTGCAGCAAACAGCGTGGCTGTGACTCCAGCTACCAATATTCCCCTCAATGTGTCAATGTGACCTCGCAATCACTGAGCTAACAATGACCCATGGCTGTACCGTGTCAGAGACGAGCCGACTACAGTGACGCTTTCTGTCTACAGGGACGCTTTCTGTCCACTGGTTTTTCTCCCGCCCTGCACTTCCTTTCTGTGGTTCCTGTTTGAGGAACGTACTGAGGTTAACCACTGGGATACAGGATTCTCAACAGGTTGAGCCTCCTGCTGAAATCCCTGCTGCTGGGACTTCAGACAGACACTTTTCCCAGACCACCCAGCTTTCTCACAGCTGGTCGAGATGGATCACTGGGCAGGGCCAGGTGTGTGGGTGCCCCATAACTCCCCTGACACTGATTCTTGGGACACAGGGAGTGTTTTACAAAGCCACGCAAACTGGCTACTCACCTGACTGACAATCTCCTGCAGGAGCTGGACATCCTTCTCCCGAGACCCCGTGCTCTCCTGCAGCTGCAGGTGAAAAGCAGGCGAGAATGGCTCTCCCACCACCTTCAATCCGGAAACTCTGGGGGAAGGAAGCACAGCACAGATGGGTTCATGCTCAAGACCTCCCGCCAGCCCACGGATGCTCACAGGGCTGTGCCTCCCCACCCACATCATAGGATAGGTTCGACTTCAATTTGAACAAAGGAAGGCAATGCACACTTCAGTCAATGCTCTGCACCTGGAGAACCGCAGAAAAACTCTTTATATGTATGTGCATGTGTGTGTGCATGCCCTACTGTCCTGAGAAACACCACAGGGGTCACATTTCACAGGACATGTGGTCACCTCCAGTGTCATACCCAGAGGGCTGCGGGCCTTGTTCTCTCACCTCCTCAAAGGCCTTCTGCTTCCTCCTGCCTGTCTACTGCTAGTGACCCACATGCCCAGGGTTAGCTGCCGGGAGGGAGTTTCTCTGGCACTGTGATATTAAGATTGTGCTCAGGTTTCAGACAGACAATGCCAGGTGCCACAGTGGCGCCCAGGTGCCAATGCCTACCTACACTGTCCCCCACCTTCTGTCTGCTCCATCCCCCACATCAATCTTCTGTTACTTCCTTTGTATCCTTCACAATCTCCTTATCACAATGTGTTTTTCTGCTTTTGTCTTTTCTTTAAAACTTTATTCTTTAAATTTTCTTTCCTTATTACCTACCTTTACAGGAACTTCTGACGTCATAAAAAAAATTTTGTTTAGGGGCCTGAGACTGCCTGTGGCCAACTGCCTAGGTTTGATCCCCAGCACCACATCTGGTTTCCTGAGTCCCACCATGAGTGATCTTAAATCCCACACAGCTGGGTGCAGCATAAAAACAAAATAGCATTTTTTTTTTGAGATAAGCAATGCATGTTTCAATTGAAGTTTCCTTCTTATATGTATGCTTAATTAAAAAAAATTATTTGAATTACCATGTTTTAGTATGTTTTTTTCTTTTATAGTATAAACAGCACAGAAACCTGCTATGAAGGAATATAGGCTATTTTAAGGAAAATAATAGATTGTTTTTACTGTATTTTCAAATGGTCATTACAGATGCCAAGAGAACTATTAGTCATATAGTAGTTTATTTAAACCCCCATTTTAGGGGCTGGAGAGAAAGCACAGAAGGCAGGGTACTTGTCTTGCGCATGGCTGATGCAGGTTTGATCCCTGATACCCCACACGGTCCCCTAAACCCCACCAGGAGTGATTCCAGAGGTCAGAGCCAGGAGTGCACCCTGAGTACAGTCAAGAGTGTGTGCTCCCCCTCCAAAATTGGGTCATTTTACCCTATCAACAGCATCATCATCATCATCATCCTTAATTTCTAAAAGTGGTTCATAACTGAGTGCCTTGAGGATATTCCAAGGTGGCCATAGAAGGTAAAGGTAAAGGTCCTCCCCTTGTTCACTGATTTGCTCGAGCAGGTCCAGTAACGTCTCCATTGGATACTTTGTTGTTACTGTGTTTGGCATATCGAATATGTCACGGGGAGCTTGCCAGGCTCTGCCGTGCGGGCGAGATACTCTCAGTAGCTTGCCGGGCTCTCCGAGAGGGGTGGAGGAATCGAACTCGGGTCGGCCATGTTGGCTGCGTGCAAGGCAAATGCCCTGCCGCTATGCTATCGCTCCAGCCCTGGCCATAGAAGAGAACTGCAAAAATGGGTGCAAAGGCATAAGGCTAGGATGTCAACTAGTGGGTAGTGGTGGAGGTAGGAGGTGGCACAGGAAAACAAAGCCAGAAGGGGCCACTGAATGAGAAGGGCTGGGAAACTACTACCAGCATCAACGATAGGTGCCTATTTGAAATTAGCCTACACATTTCACACTGCTTTTGTTGACTTTGTTTCACCTACAAAGATTTCCTTCCCCTTAGAATGACAGGAGCATTAAAGAGTATTTGGTAGTGTGTCTGATCTTTCAACAAATTCCAACTGAACTGGCACTGTGTGCTATACATATTGGGTGCCAAAAGCAAGTCTTTCACCTCTGAATCCCTCCCGACATTAATAATGCTTGTCTCTTTTTAAATGTAATACAGCATGCAAAGTTCTCTTTTAAAAATAGGCTGCAAGGACCCAGAGTGATAGTACAGTGGGGAGGGAGCTTGCCTTGCATGCAGCCAAACCTGGGTTCAATCTTCAGCACCCAACATGGTCCCCTAAGCCCACCAGGACTAAGCCCTGAGCACTGCCCAGTGTGGCTCCAAGACCAAAGCAAAGTAAAGCAAATCAAATCAGATAAAACAGGCTGTAGATTTGAATCATGAAATCTTCCTATTTTGGATTTTGGAATGTGGGGAAACTGCTAGTTAGTTCTTTCCCTAATGCAGAAATCAAGGCGCAAGCCTTCCAAACCCATGCCCAGGGCCCTCAGCAGCTAAAAGCAGGCTCTGCATGCCCAAGGCTGGGTCTGAAACCTGACACCACCCTGCCCCCAACAAACAAAACCCAGCAAAACAAAATGAAAACATCCATTACCTAGGTGAATTTTGAAAGTGTTCAAGTTAGAGATTTTTCAGGCCATGCGGTCTGCCTCAGGAGAGCTTCTCGAGATGCAGAAAGGCATCTGCAGCCCAACCATGGCGTGTGCTCGTCAGACAGGCCCTCCCACAGGCTGGCTGGGGGAAGGGCGAAAACCAGACTGTGCCCCACCTCCTACCCCCTACTGTGGATGGTGAGTGTCAGATGCAAGTTTAAAATGAAACCAAGTGAACAACACAATCTGAGCTCAAATTTAGAAACTGAGAAGCTGTAAAGTTTTTAGAGACACTTTTTATTTATTTCAGAAAGGAAAAAATGTGAAAAGTCTATGACTGCTTTATGACAGTGCTTGCTATTTGCACAAAATATCCAAACGGGCAAATAGCAAGCACTGGCAAGGGCCCAGGGATGAAGCATCAATAACTGAGACATGGTCGCTGTCACGTGATTCCAGTATGGGAGAGACTGGGCAAAAATCACTTAGTGCTGGGGATTCTTCAAGTTTCCAGCAAGACGCCAAACTAGCAAAGGCTGCTGACTCCCTCTCCCAAAAATCAACCAAAAGACAGGAGCATCACACAAAAAATTTAGAACTACACAATAAAAATATTATTGTCAAAATGCTAGTTTTTAAGTCATTAACTATAAAGTAAGAAATGAAACAGTTCAAACACAAAAAAAAAATGAAGAGAAAGAATACGATTCAATGAAAAAAATGTAAGTAGGAAAGGACAAAAACCAATGGAAGAAAAAAATGGATTAAAAAAATAAGCTAAATTGGGGGTGGAGAATGGGCACTGGTGAAGGTACGGGTGTTTCATTGTATGACCGAGACTTAGACCCGAAAGCTTTGTAACTGCTCTCACGGTGATTCAATAAATGAAATTATAAAAAATGAAAAAAAGTAAGGTGGAGTTCAGGCCCAATTCAATCAGCTAATCAGTGGCTGAATAAATAGCAGTACTCCTACATTATAAAAAATAATAAGCTAAAGGAAAGAATGTGCCAGTTAGAAAGTGAAAAAAAAAACCCGCACAACAAAACTCTAACAGTGGGAAAGAAAGAAACAGACTGTAAGTAAGAAATGATCACAGACTATGTCCAACTGGAAGTTCCAGCCAAGATGATCTTTACTGGAGAGGTCCTGACAATAGGAAGAACCACATCTGGTTGGACACAGAAGCTCCACAAAGCAGGAAAACTGGGCGTTCCCAGGTAATAGCACCAGGCAGGGGGATAAACTATAAGGGTCAGGATGAAGGAGCAGAGAAAAGGGAGGACTGGATACCCCCAGTCAGAATGAAGAACATCTGAAGCTGGTGCCAACAGATTCACAGTGGCAGCTATGTGCCGGAAATGCCACTATATTAATATTCAGAAACCAAGTACTGAAACTAGTACAATAAAATCTCACATAAATCATGCAAGAACTTCTGTACTGCCATGGAGACACACCTACAACTTTATTTTTGCCTCTAGGTGATCCGGAACAGCTGTGATCTTATTCATTTATTTCAGTATCATTTTTTTCTTTTTTATTTGGTTATAAATTCTTTTGTTTCCAGAACAGGCATTAGAGAGAACGTTCATGACCAAAAGGTAACTGACCTTAGGAAAGGCGAAGAAACAAGCAAATCCCACAAAACAAAAACAAACCCAGTCCCCCAGCAGTCTGTGTACAATCCTTTCCCTTAAGGCCACGATCTGCCTGCAGAGGGCAGCAACGCGACCGTCCCCTCCATTCTGGAGGGATCTTTCAGAAGCCCCACAGTGCTATGAGAACAGGACAATCTCAATGCTTCTGAATTGATTTTAAACCAAGGAATCGTTTCTAAGAAGTAATGTGAAAGGCCTGAACTCAAATAATCTAATTACATAAAATAGGATCCGAACTATTTTATAAACTTTCTCACTTACACATCTGTTGATTTAAAATAAGCAATTCTTCCGCATTTATCCACAGTGGCATCATGCTGGGCTATTTGTTTTTCAATCTTTGTATCTTCTGTACTGACAGAATATTTTATGCAAGAGCTTAGTTCATTTTCAGAAGAAATAATAATTCTTCAAAGTAACAGAATGGGTGCATTGGTCCAAATCAGTCTGAGTGATTGTTTTTTGTCTTACTCAAATCACTCAAATCAACCCATGTCTTTTATTAAATCTCATTGAAATGAGAGAGAGTGGACACGGTTTTTCAGCAGCAATCAAATGTATTAGGTTAGATAGGCAGCGTGTTGGCTGAAAAGTACATGAAACTTACCCCTGCAAAGCTTTGTGAATTTGTTTGCATTTGTCCTTCAACAATGCAAAAATACCTGAATAATTAAAAAAAAAAAAGCTGATGTTATTCAGGAGATCTGAGAACACAATTTCAAAGCATTCTGAAGATTCAGCTCAAGTTCATACATAAAAAAAGACCGCAAATCCTTCCACGTACTAAGGACAATAATGAGTGAGATGATGTAGCACACAGAGGGACACACTTTCAGCAAAACCTGGCAAGAGATTTTCCAAAAAAAAAAAAAAAGTCTTTTCTGTTTTTCAAAAGTTTATAAAGAACTGAGGTTAAAGGGAACAAATATATTACTTATTCCTGGGCCCTGAGCAATTTGGTGAAAAACAACAAAAAACTGACCATATGGTAGGGCAGTACTCATGTTCTTTCCTTTTATGTAAGAAAAAAGTCAAAACTAAACTATCTGAGCAGGACGAGGCATGCCTAGCCATCTGTCCAGAAAGCCTAAGAGTCTGCACAAATCTCCTTCCCCAGGCTTAAAACAAATGCTGAAAATTCAGATGCAGGGGCTAGAGAGACAGTCCATGAACAACATTTATTTGCCCTGCATGTTCCTGAACACTGCCAGGTGTGGCTGGCACTCACACCCTGCTCGACCAACAAAAAGGGAGCAGGAAGAAAATTTTAAAATATCAGGGAAGACACCCCCCCACACACGGTCTTCCATTTCTGCTTCCAGTTTGGTGAAGAGATGCCATGCCATCCAAAAGTCACATTCTAAGTTTAGTTAGCTATGTTTATTAAGTAAGACCTTTACTGGCAAAGCAGGTTTGGCCTCAGAGCCAACTGATGGGTCAAAGGCACAGGGTTAACAGTGAATTATACAGAACCAGCATCACTCTGTGCTAGCTGCTTTGAAAATAATCAAGGAACAAATGATGACCAGCTACTCTCCGTGGAGGAAGCAGCTGGGCCAGGGCTGACCCCTCCTGCCTCTTATCTCTGCCACAAGGGCACCAGTCTCTCCAGCCTTAAAAGATTTACCTCCTTGAGGCAGCGAGTTCGTGCCACTCTCCCTCGAAATGGCAGACAACAGAATTCAGAGCCAGTTCTATCTTGTAAATAAATTCTGTTGATAAATAAATCCCAATTCCCCTCCCCGCCCAAGGTCAGCTGCGTGGTTCCCACAGGCCGTGCGCCCGCTTGCCTTCCCGGGCAACCCTTACCGGGGTTCTCTTCCATGATGTTGAGGGCCTCCATGGCAGCGGCAGCGAGCAGTGGGGGCAGTGAAGCGGAAAAGCAGTATCCCTGGCCGGAGAGCCGCTGTGAGGAAGCAGGGGCATAAAGGGATTTCCTTTAGGGGCCAGGGGCTACAGATTTAAAGACAACAGATCTCTCCACTGCCAACCAAATGGTGAGGTGGTAGAACCCAGTGTCTGAAAGTTCTACAGGCATTAAGAACAATGCCCCCCAAGCCCCCCAGGGGAGGCAATTTTTAAATATAAATATTATGAGTGACTAACTGAAAAAAACCTGTGTGATCAGTCAAAAATCAATTTTGTACTTTTTCTTTTTTTTTTCTTTTTGGGTCACACCCAGCAATGCACAGGGGTTATTCCTGGCTCTGCACTCAGGAATTACTCCTGGTAGTGCTCAGGGGACCATATGGGATGCTGGGAATTGAACCTGGGTCAGTCGAGTGTAAGGCAAACTCCTTTCCCGCTGTGCTATTGCTCCAGCCCCCAATTCTGTACATTTTAAGGTGATCAATAGAGCTACTAGTTTGTTTCTAATTCTGCTTAAGAAAAAAAAAAATAAAAAAAATTAAAAAAAAAAAAGACGAAAAAACTCACCTGATGATCGATTACAAAAGACCTTCCACAGCAGAAACCCCCAATGGAAGCAAGTGAATTCTCCATGTTGGCACTGATAAGATCAATATCATCAATCTGTCAGAACAAAGGGAGAGGGGAAGTGACTTTTCTGCGCACAGAGGAAGAAGGTCAATGTTTAGTTGTTTTGGGAGACAAAACTTCACCATCAGTCAAGTCAACATCTGGATTCAAACAAACTGTGTGAACACAGAGGACAAATCACACAAAATCTAAAGCTAGAAGGACTGATGTTTCAAAGCCTGACTTTGGGAGAGGCCCACATTATAATCTCTCCCATTTCATCAAAAAGACATTTATTCACAGGGGAAGAAATAAATTAAGAGAAGATAAAAGCAGAGCAATTTGATCCTGCAATGATTCAGAAGTTCAAAATAAGATCACTTCCTTGCTAAAGCAGTAGTTGAACACTGTTTCCCCAGAGAAGGCACTTGAGATAAATAAAAAGCCATTTCTCAAAGTTTTCAGCACTTTGTCCCTACAATCTATCTTCAAGAAAATAAAGTCAGGGCTGGCAAGATAGCACAGTGGATAGGGCACCTGTCTTTATGGCTGACCCAGATTTGATCCCTGGCATCCCATATGGTTCCCTGAATCCCACCAAGAGTGATTCCTGAGGGCAGAGTAAGAAGTGAGCTCTGAGCATTGCCAAATATGACTCCCAAACCAAAATTGAAGAAAGGGGATTCAATGTAGCCAAACATCACAGCAACAGAGCCTTTAGCGAAACGAAACAAAATGGGGGAGCAGGGAGCAGAAGGACCTGCACCCACTGTCTTTTTCTCGTCTTTTGATTTTTTGGAGACTCCATCCAGTGGTGCTCAGGGTGACTCCTGGTGCTCAGGGGAAAATATGCAAAGCTGGAGATGGAACCGGGTTGCCTTCATGCAAGGGAAGCACCGTAATTCCTGTTCCCTCTCACCAGCCAACTGTCTTCTCAATACACAGAGCTCCTCTGTTTCAGTTCCAGCATCAAGTCCCACACAGGGAACACAGGAATCACCCACAAATTAGTCATGAGGGTCAGAATAAAGACTGGCCAACATATAGTGGCGCTTCTATGCCACAGATGCACCAAGGAAACCTCTGCCCTCTTCTTCATTTAAAACCCTTTCCCATAAAAACATTCAAACTGTCCTTGGGTAGCTGTGGGGCTGGATACCAGGACCAGATTCCAGGATCCTCAACTCCTTCATATAAAAATTGGTGCAGTTATCTATTCTACATACATCCTGCCATATACTTTAAGTTATTTCTAGATTAAAACAAACACTGTCCTCCCGTTGTTCATCGATTTGCTCGAGCGGGCCCCGTGACGTCTCCATTTTTGAGACTTGTTGTTACGTGTTTGGCATACTGAATACATCACGGGTAGCTTGCGGGCGAGATACTCTCGGTAGCTGGCCGGGCTCTCCGAGAGGGGCGGAGGAATCGAACCCGGCTCGACCGGGCTGGCTGCGCAAGGCAAACGCCCTACCGCCTGTGCTCCAGCCCTATTCTACTTCTTCCAGCCCTATTTCTCAGGGCCGGAGCAATAGCATAGTAGGTAGGGCGTTTGCCTTGCACGCTGCTGACCCAGGTTCATTCCTCTATCCATCTCAGAGAGCCTGGCAAGCTACTGAGAGTATCTCGCCCGCAGGGCAAAGTCTGGCAAGCTACCTGTGACGTATTTCTTGATTACACATAAAAATAAAAAGAAACACCCTACAACCACAAAAAATTGTAAGTCTACAACTGTACCATATGGTGTCTCACTAATAATAAAAAAAAACCTAGTACAATGTAAATGCTACGTAAATAACTTGTAAGATGGTTTTTTAGAGAATGATGGCAGGAAATAAAAGTCTAAATATGTCTGGTACAGAGACAACCACTACAGGACAAATCATATAGTATAAATTCTCATTCCTTGTATCCTTCCACTTAGAAATACTTAAATCAAGTGTAGAGTACTGAGTGTGCAAAAGTGGAGAGGAAAAGCTAAAGAAGTCCCTTCAACCAGGTTCGATATGATTTGATTCTTGGACAATGTTATTTCATCCATAGCTCCTTAGTGTCCCATCATACTCTGGAACAAATATCAGATTTCATACAGTTTGATCTACAAATATTTCAGTACTCATTTCTAAAAGAGAATCACAAGACAAACACATAATAAAATACAGTTGCAAAACTATGATCACATCTAAAATTTTTTTAAATGTGGGGCTGGGAGGGGTCATACCCAGTGAGCTTGGGGGACCATATGTGGTGCCTGGGATTGAACCTGGGTCAGCCCATGCAAGGCAACTGTCCTGCTCATTGTAATGACACTGTGCTGTATTTTGGCTCTGGCATGCAAAATAAAAAAATTCTTAGTATCAATGGGGCTGAAATGATAACACGGTGGGTACGTCCATTTGCCTTGTACACAGGCAACTTGGATTCAATGCCAAGAACCCTATATGTTCCTTTGAGCCCGCCAGGAATGATCTCTGAATGCAGAGCCAGGAATGAGCCCTGAGCACCAGTGGATATGGCTCCAAAATCAATGAATCAAACCAAGAACCCGAAACAAAAATATTCACAATATCAAAACATTTAGCATTTAAATGTTTGAGTCTTACAAACCTGTTTTCTACAATATTTGCCTGAATCAGGATTGTAAGGTCTTGCACTATGCACCTGTACTCAGATCCTTATACATACTATGTCTACGACAATTACTGAAGGCAAGCAAACCACTCAGTGAAGTCAGCATTTTCCTTCTTTTAAATCATTTTAATGCTTCAAAAATTATTCAAATTTCCGTGGCAGCCTCCACGCCTGACCCTTCCACCATACTCTCAGCTGGCCACCTCCACATCTCGGAACTGTGCGAACAGCGGACAGATGGGGGTGGGGGGATAGGGACATGGGACGGGCCTACAAAGATTCACTCTCAGCACAGCAGCAAACACATGGGAAGAAGCAAAGAAGCCCACCTAGCTGAGTCAGTGAAAGGAACATAGTTTGTATCTGCCTGACGTTGTGTCTAGTCCACCACCCCGGACTCCACCCATTTACAATCCGAGTTCTGTAATTTAAAGCCAAGGGCTTCTTATTTACCACAGAGGAATCCTCTTTTGTGACTGTCTCCACTACAGAGGAACGAGATCATCTGGTACCAATCCTTTCCCTCTGGTTTCCTTTCTTGACTTGATCATCCTCCAGTTGTATCTACACTGCAGAGAACTGCATAAGTTTCATCTTTTCTTCTTTTTTGACCATTTTTATTGAGGTACCAGCATTTATTACACTGTCAATCACACTTGCATTTGTACATCATTTCCATTACCAGAGTTACTTTTCCTCCATCACTGTCCTAAATCCCCTCCCTGCACCCCACCCCCAAACACAAACACTCCCAGGTAAATTCAGTTCTACAGATAACACCTCCAGCTCGTGACTTGTGCCATTCATATCGTATTCCTTTACTATGTTTCTCTTTTATCCTTCACAAGGAGAGAGCACTCACTTTTTTTCCCATTTAATTTTTCCCCCTTAAATTTCCTCTTGTGACGCCTACACACAAGAGATAACTAAAGCTAAACTGAAATTTCACAAAATTGTAAGTCAATGATAAGCTGAAAAAGAAATTTTACCTTTCTCTTTTAGTAGGTATAAAAAGTTTTAAAATAGTGCAAACATATCTATAATACTAAATACTAAAGGCCCTCCCGTTGATCGTCGATTTGCTCGAGCGGGCCCAGTAACGTCTCCATTGGAGACTTTGTTGTTACTGTGTCTGGCATATCGAATACTCTCGGTAGCTTGACAGGCTCTCCGAGAGGGGCGGAGGAATCGAACTCGGGTCGGCCATGTTGGCCGCTTGTAAGGCGAACGCCCTACCCGCTGTGCTATCGCTCCAGCCCTGCTATCGCTCCAGCCCATCTATAATACATTTCAAAATTAACATGAAACAGATAATCCCACAAATACACAAATTAGTAAGAGTGAGGAGAAAAGAATTAAGAAAAATTTAAGGAAATAGACCTGTAAAAGTATAAAAATGCTTTTATCCTAAAATAGAATATAGGCTTTATGTTAGAAAATACTACATGAAAGATAGTATTAAGTAACAGATTGGAAAAAAAACTCTATAGATGAAAAAAAAAATCTCCTGAATAGACAGAACATTCAATATAAATGAAATATTAATTCATTACTGAACAAGTCTGAAATTCTCTAGCAAGCTAGGAATGAACGCTTTACCTAATCTAGTGGTGACATCCATAAGCAACACGAGTGATGCTATGATCAGTGGCAAAGTGCTGAGAACTATGTTCTTTTTTAAAAAGGTCCCTCAGTATTTCCTTTTTTTTTTTAATTGAAGATAACGCTGTGAGATGGAGCATTACAAAATTGTGCATGATTGCATTTCATATTCCAACATCCATTCCTCCACCGGTGCAATTTCCCAGCACTAGTGTCCCAGTTTCCCTCCCACCTCCACCCCAGCTGCCTCTAGGACAGGCACTTCTCTTCTCTCTTTCTCTTTCCCTCCTCTCTCTTATTTTGGGCATTTTCCAGCATGTCTTGCAAAACTGGCTCTAAGAACCTGCATTCTCCGAGCTGTCGCCTGCCTGGGGCTCGGCATCACTCCATCTGAATGATAGTCTAGCTGGATAGAGAATTCTTGGTGAGGTGTTCTTTTACTCTGTCCCCCCATTCTCTTCTGGCTCACAGAGTCGCATGTAATAGATCTGCTGTATATCTTAAAGGCTTCCTTTTGCATAAAGTTTTTTTTTTTTGGTATTGCTGCTTTAAGTACTCTGCCTGTCTCAGGCTTGTGCCTTTTGGGTGATAATGTATCTGGGAGTTCTTCTATCGGGGTCTATTTTCACTGGGACCCTTTTGGCTTCTCGGATCTCAATGCCTACATTTCTCATCTCTAGGAAATTCTTAGTTATATTTTTTAAAATAGTGGTTCTTCATCAAACTTGCCTTTCTTATATTGTACTCTGGCTTCACCCCAGAGTTCTCTGTTCATTTCCTTCTAAATGTTTCCCCCATCTTGTGTTGTTTTCTGGAGGGTTCCTGCACCTCCTCTTGAAGCACCTGGATCTTTCACTTGGCTGCTCAGACCCTGACTGTACTTCTGATATCACCCACCATATTCTTCATTTCTGCCCTCATGCTTCTGCTTTGCTGACTACCTTTGCCCATCATTTCTTTGGGTTCATAAATCATCCTCACCATGGTGTCACGACGTCTTTCTGAGAGTTTACAGAGCTGATGGGCATTAGGCACTGCAGTGGTGCTGAGGGTGCAGTGACTCTGTATATCAATGACCATAAACAACGACACAATTGCAGCCATGTAAACCATAATCAAACAAATACAGAAACTAGAGAAAAGCATTCTAAACGTGAATTCAAAAAGTAATGATTATGGTGAAGGAACTTTGTTATGTAACGTTCATTCAATCATGAACAACCTGTAACTGTGTATCTCACTGGGAAGGAAGGAAGGGAGGGAGGATAGGTGATGATTAGAATCTGGATCTGACTCTCCATCCTGGCTTCTTTCATCATTTCAATCAGTCTTCCACCTATCTGGGGCTAAACTATGTGTCCTGGTAGAGTGAGGAGAGATCAGAATCTGTCTCTCTCTCTTTTTGGTTTTGGGGTCACACCTGGCAGTGCTCAGGGTTTACTCCTGGTTCTGTACTTGGGGTTCACTACTGGCAAGGAGTCAGGGCGTCATACGGGTGTAGAGAATTGAACCCGGGTCGGCATGTATGTGAGGTAAGCATCCTACTCACTATATCGTTGCTCTAGCCCCATACGCAAGAATCTGTGAAAATTCTCTAAGTAATCTACATGCCATTAAGTAGAAAACAAACTATAGTTAATGTGACTTGGGTGCTTACATTGAACATTCAGCTTGTATGTAATTAAAAGTTATAAAACGGGGGAAATATTGTTGTAATTTAGCTTTAGTCATGTTCTCACATTCTGAAATTGCTCAGTGCATTTAACTGCTGAATGGCATTTTGTCAGAGATGTGTGCTCATATTTAACTCTTCAAGATTTCCTTCTGCAGGGTTCACTCCTCAAGCCCATGACTTCCCTAAACACATACACTTATCTCACGGAACTGTCTGTTTCTCTGTTTGCCTATTTCCACTCTGAAGAAGTCTGTGATCTCTCTCAAGCATACTTTCGCCTTTCTTTCTCCTCACATCATTCTAAATAAATTTCAATGAAAACTTTGTTTCGCAAAAAAGAAAAAAATTAAAAATAAATCTTTCTGCTACTTTTCTCCAAGACTTTATGCACAGTGAGATGTAAACAACTAAGGTGATGTTTAATTTTTTTGGGGGGGGTGGGGGCTTATACCCAACAGTGCTCAGGGCTTATTCCTTGCTTTTGCACTAAGGCTTGGAAACCATAAAATGGTGCCACAGATCAAACTCTGGTCAGCTGCATGAAAGGCAAGCAATCCTATTTTTCTGGTCCTGATTTTATATTTTATAATTTCACTTTCTCTAGATCTCAAGACTGTGAAGCATGGAATTCGGAGAAAATCTTCCTTTGTCTGTGCCCCTAGGCATGGGTGCGCCCCTATTGTGGGGTGACACTGGCCCAACGGAAGGCCCAGGAGCATAAACCTTAAGCCCACGGCCAGCTGAGGATCCTTCCCTTCAGCCAAAGGAAAAACAACAACTCAATTCAGTCGTCTGGGCCTTGAGGGCCTTTGCCGAGTCTCCGCAGCAGCATTTCTGACTGCCTGTCTATGAATACATGTGCCAGGGGGTAAGAGTCTCCCCCCCACTCTGGGCTCACTGGACTCCTGAGAACACAGAATCTCCAGGACTATCCACGCCATCCTTTCTCAGCCATCAAGAACACTGCCCAGGAGCTACTCAGGAGACACTGACTGAAGAAGGGAATGTAAGATGAATTTAATTATGTCTAGGAAGAAGCACCGACAGGCAGGAAATTACCAGGTAAACAGAAAGCACTTTGACTTTACAAGTTCCCAGGGGAGACACCCAGAGTCCTGCCCGTGGAACTTGCCCAGCAGGATGGAACTGAGAGGGAGGAGTGGGAGGGTGGGTACCAGGAGAACCAGTTAATGTAACTGGTCCTTTAAAATCTTGCCCACTGAAAATGCATCCAGTGAAGACAGGTAATAGGACGGCCAGATTGGACAGCAGCAGATAAAAGGGAAATCCCAGCCAGACGGCGGGACAGCAGGGTCGCCCCTCCCCCTGGACATAATCAGAGACAAAAAGCTGAGGGGACAGGGCATGGCTGGGGACAGTCCCAGGGAAGGCCAGAGACAGGTCACAGGGTAGCAATCCCAGCAAGGTGGATGACAGAGAGGGCTCCAGCTGCAGACCGCAGGTCAGAACGTGTGCACTGGACAGCATGGCAAAGGGACAGACCCGAGCCATCATACACTGGAGACCAGCAGATCGTGAGAAACAGGACAAGTCTTATTTAATCTGGACCAGTCTTCAATAGACAGGACAACAGATGTCATACACAGGTATGAGGAGAGGCCTGGACAATGAGGGTGCCCCAAACTCACCTACTGAGCTGCACAATAAACTTCTGGTTTTAGGGGTCAGAGTGAGAGCACAATGGGTAGGGCATTTACCTTATGCAGCTGACCTGGCTTCAATCCCCAGCATCCCTTACGGCCCCCCAAGCACTGCCAGGAGTAATTCCTGAGCACAGAGCCAGGAGTAACCTCTGAGCACCACTGGATGTGACCCAAAAAAGAAAAAAACAAAAACAAAAAACACCTTTTGGTTTTGTCAGCAAATTTTTCATATGAACAGAACTTACATTGATACCAAAGTGTTCTGTGACACCACGGCCGTGCTCTCCCAGGACTCCAAACGAAAGGCTTTCCTCCAGGAAGATCCTTGCTTTGTACTTGTACTTTAACTTAACCTAAGATTCAAGGAAAACAACTTTAACACATGAATAGTCAAGCAAATATAGAACAAATTGGGAAGAACAAATTGAAAATAAGCAAGAGGCATGTACAGCTCCCTACCGGGGGAACCTGTATTTGCCATGCTTGCTGAAGCTTGTGTGACCCTGATGCCAACACTGGGCCCTGTGCGCAGAGCAGTGAAAACACAGGGTCGCAACAAGCTGAGTCTCCGCCTGCTGCTTCAGTCCGCGCCGAACACACTCGAGCTTGTCCCTGGTCTATGTACCACCAGGCCTGCCACATTTGGCGCTTTGTCAGTGATTTACTGTTGAAAACATCCTTAAGCACAATGAGGAAGTGTTGTCTAGGGTTCCTGAGTGCAAGGCTCTGATACATCTTTCAGAGAAAACAACATGTTTTCAGAAAAGCTGTTCGGGCACAAGGGGCAATCGACAGTGTATCTGAAATAAGGAATCTCTGAATATGAAACAAAGCTGATGAAAATGCTGCGTCTGGGCCTGCCTCTGTTTTCCCTTATCAGGACTTTGCTGCGCCAAGGTTAGAGAATGTGAGCATATGGGGCCTGGATGAAACAGACCTGCCATGAATAAGGAACACCAACGGCATGCCTGTGTCCCCACAGATACCCCACTCACCAGAGGAGGGACCGCAATGTTGACTGCACCTATACGGGGGCCACACACCAGCTTGCGGTGCTGCCCCAGGGCGGGGCGGGGGCTGGGCCACCAGGGCCACACACAGCGCTCACGCTGGGAAGGGAATGCAGGGCCTCCACATGACGGGCATATGTGCCGGCACTGGGCGCCATATGCCCAGCCCCACACGTCAGATTTAAGAAGAAATGTTGCAGAACACTGTGACCGTAGACATGTAATCTGCTAGACACTAGTCTGCCTCTACTCAGAAGCTCCTGGAAAACAGACATATTCTTCCTTCATAGACACTTCAAACAAACAAACAAACAAAAGAGGCCACTTGCTAGCAGGAGTAGTTGTAGAAGACGGGTCTCTACACAGATGGGGACGGCCGGGAATGGTTATCTGGAAATAATGTAAGTGAGGAGAAAATGCCCACCCCAGTAGCCCAGAGGCATGAGCACCATGCCCTTCTGAGATGTGCAGTTCAGAGGGAGATGTGTACTCTCAGCCCTCCCTCTGGAAGAGCTGTGTTCTCATTTGAACAGATCTTTCTCTCCCCTGACATTTCTCTAATTTAAATAAGGCTATTTTATTTCATAACAAAAAGGGGCGGAGGAAGGGGTGGCTGGCACATCCAGCTGTGTTTGGGCCTGAGGCCACTCCCTTAAGAGCTTGGCCTGACAAAGCTCCTTGGGGGCTGCAAGGGTCACACCTGTCCTTACAGACAGAAAGTAGACTGGTGGGTGCCAGGGGCTAGGGGAGGGAAAATGGAGCATGACTGCTTACTGGGTGTGGGATCTTCTTCGGGAGTAACAAGTTCTCAGAAGAGGAGAGCAGATAGCTGCACAATTCCATAAATATACTAAATGATACTGAACTGTACATTTTAAAGGGACTAGTTCCATAATATGTGAATTTCATCTCCAAACACAACATTTCAATCATTACGATTTCTAAAAATCTGTATATTCCTTTCCCTCAGTGTTATACAAAATATATCCGTATATAGTGAAATTCTACAGAAGGCAAAAACAATACAGCAACAGAAAGTAGATGGAAGGTGGCCCAGCCAGGATTGGGGAACAGACCCCGAAGACCCTGAGGAAACTTTCTGGAGGGAAATATTCTCTATTTTGACAGTATTTTGACAGTGGTGATGGTGATAAGAGTATACATATCTGTTAAAATTGAGCAAACTTCACACTCACACTCAAAATATTTACCTTATGTCAATGACAACCTAATTAAAATTTGTCTATTTACTTGTAATATAAGCAATAACTCACACTGCAGATATTCACACAGGAAAGTGCTCTACTGCTGATGTACATGCCTGGTCCTGTAAAAGCTGGTTTTACAAAGCTGAGTCGTATGTGGGCTGGAGCAACGATACAGTAGGGTAGGGCACTGGCCTTGACACTGTTCAGTCAGGTTCTATCCCTGGACCCCCTTTTGGTCTCCTGAACACCACCAGGAATCATTTCTGAGTAGAGCCAGAAATAGTCCCTGAGCACTGCGGGGTGTGGCTCCAAGACAAAAGTCTTGATTACTCCTAAGAGTCATCTGTAAGGCCACCATTTGCACTTAATGTTACTTTGCTTCCCTGGTAAGATCAGAATGTGCCCGTGATACCTACTATGAAAGCAATCCAGACATTATACATTTAAAGGTGGTCACAAGAAGGCATTATTGCCAAATGGCCCCCAAAAGCTCAAAGAATGAAGAAAAGACTGCTCACCAGTTCTGGAAGAGGACAAACCATTCCAGTATTCATGTACAGCCCTTCTACTACAATGAAACGTCGAGTCACACGAGCCTTGCGAGGATTCTTGAAAAGACAGAAAAAAAAAATCCATTAGTTTATATTTTGATTAACTCCACATGCGCGACCTACACCTTGGCACTGCCACCAGGCAGAGGTAAGCAACAAGGAGTCCAAATGGCCTGACAAGCCATGGTTTGGCAGACTGCACCGAGATGAATAGTGTACTCTCCTACATGTGATGTTCACAGGAACAACCAGGCAAGCCCATACACAGTTCTGGTGCTCTGAGGATGCTTTACATGGTGACAGGCATCAGGATAGCCAGGTGATAGGGCACAGTCACTGGATAAACAGGTTTACTCAGGGTTTACTGGGCAGGATTTGTGCCTGTAAATATGATTCCACATGAGAGAACCATGGTGAGGCTCACAGCCACCATCATCATAGAGATGAAGTGGAGACAGCAGATGGAGTTCTAAAGGACACAACAAGAATGGGAGAACACTGAGGGCAAAGCTGAGGAAAGGGGGAGTGGAAGTTTCCGTCTACTGACTCTCCACTGGTAGTGTCAAAATTTTCTGCAGTGGAAGTTTAAAAAGTCCTGCTCTTTCCCTCATTAGCATGAAACCAGATGAAACACCTTCTCTTAGTGTTATAAATGAATGGAACAAGCAACACTTGACCATGATCCAAGGTGGTAGAGGACCATCGTCCTTCAAATACAACTGTATTGTTTGACACAGACAGGTGATAAATGTACCTCTGGATGCTTAGGGTGTGCTACTTTGGAATTACTAAAGTCAGCAGATGGAATGGCTTCTTGCCTCTATGCTGCTGCCTTCTGGAGAGATAGGTTTGAGTACCCGAGACAATGGAAAGAAAGATAGTACAATGGAGAAGGCTCTTGCCTTGTATGTAGCTGAATTGGGTTCAATTGCTGAGACTCATCAACAGGAGTAAACACTGAGTATAGAGCTAGGAGTAAACCCTGAGCACAGCTGGATATGGCTCAAACACCAGAAGGAAAAAAAATTACAAAGTCAAGTAGTGAGCTGAACGGTAAAGGGGTCTTTAAAACCCCCAGTATCACACTCAGAAAAAGAAGTCTGCTGAAACACACACAAGTCACCCTGTCACTGATCACAAACCTGCACATGTTAGGGGCTAGCTGCACATCAGCTGATGGGGAGGGAAGGGCATGAGAGAGAATGGGTGGCAGCCTTCCTCTCCTGACTCTTCAACAATGAACGCAGGAATTTTGAGAAATGGACAAACACAAAGAAGAATGTAACAAATTAGCTTGTCATTTGGTATCCTTTAACTTATAAAAATCTGTTATTATAAATACTACTCTATTTGTAATAGTATTCGAATCAGGCTTTTGTCCCAATAGTTTTAAGACCTGCGCTTTAAAAACATGAAGTGATGGGCTGAAGCGATAGCACAGCGGATAGGGTGTTTGCCTTGCACGCAGCCGACCCGGGTTCGATTCCCAGCATCCCATATGGTCCCCCGAGCACCACCAGGAGTAATTCCTGAGTGCATGAGCCAGGAATAACCCCTGCGCCGGGTGTGACCCAAAAAGCAAACAAAAAACAAAACAAAAAAACAAAAACAAAAACAAAAAAAACCATGAAGTGAGTCTTTCCATATGAGTCTTATTTAAGGTAAAGGTAAAGGTAAAGGCCCTCCCGTTGATCGTCGATTTGCTCGAGCGGGCCCAGTAACGTCTCCATTGGAGACTTTGTTGTTACTGTGTTTGGCATATCGAATACTCTCGGTAGCTTGTCGGGCTCTCCGAGAGGGGCGGAGGAATCGAACTCGGGTCGGCCATGTTGGCCGCTTGTAAGGCCAACGCCCTACCCGCTGTGATTATTATGAAGTTCTAAAATTCTAGCTTGTGGGTTCTGTTAGGTTTAGATTGTGAATTTTGTGTATTTTTTTGTTCTGCTTCATCATGGTACTTTCTTGAATCTTTGGGAAATTTCTGAGAATTAAAAATTTTTTTTTTAAATGCAGCCCAGATAGAAATGGTCTGAATATTTAGGAATATAAAGGCCCAGAGTACAGCGGGTAGGGTGTTTGCCTTGCACATGGCCAACCTGGGTTCGATTCCTCTGCCTTTCTCAGAAAGCCTGGTAAGCTACCGAGAGTATCCTGCCCGCAGAGCAGAGCCTGGCAAGTTCCCATGGCATATTTGATACGCCAAAGAAGTCGCACAAGGGAGAAGTTACTGGTGCCTGCTCGAGCAAACTGATAAACAACAGGACAGGGCTACAGTGCATAAAGGCCCACAGAAGGTTGTGTTACTAACCTCTGGTTACAGCTCCGGGGCTTCCTTGGGATTTAAAAGGCCCTTTTCTCATCACATCTGTGTTTGCATGACTATTATTATTAAAAGTGGTTCTTAACTGGGCAGTTAAAAACTCTTTATGCGGGGTTGGAGCGATCCTACTGTGAGTAGAGCATTTGATGGCTGACCTGGGTTTGATCCCTAGAGTCGCAGATGGTCCCATGAGCACGCCAGGAGTGATTCCTGAGTGCAGAGCCAGGAGTAATCCCTGTGCATTGCCAGGTGTAACCCAAAAAGCGAAGGGAAAAAACCCTCTTTAAGTAATTCCTCTAATTATTTGTAAGGCCAGACCATATTTTACATTATCATAGTTATCTGCTTTGTTTCCATATCATATTTATTTGTGTTTCTGCTCAGACTGAACAGACTGAAGGAAAAGGGAAGAAGAAACGCCTATGAACTACAATGCCTGGGAAATGGGCAAACTTGGATCGAAATCTGAACTAAATTACAATTTTAATATGCTTTCAAGGAAAAGAGAAATATCCAAGTAGAAAATATTAAAAATTTTAACATTTAAGTGAAAATGAAATTGAAAAAGGATGATTTCTGAAAACCAAAATGTTAAAATTATTTGTGAAGCCTACTCCTGGCAGGAAAATGTAGAATTAACTAGTATAACAAAAAGTATAAAAAGTGTCATATATTAAATTAATTTTATTTCTTGTTCTTACATAAAAATTTCCTGGATCATAATCTTACAATAACATACATATATGAAACTTGAATCTACCCTTTTCCAAACCGTACAATACGAACTTGGCAAGATAAGTTCTAGAGTCCACTGGCCTCCTGCCAATGCACTGTGTCCCAAATTCACTGCATTCCATTATGGAAAGAGAGGAATCTAGAGTAAGAAATTCCTCAGTGGTATGGTCTCAATTTTGAGTTTTCTTACAGGTCTTCCTAAGTTGTGTAAGCATGAAAATTGGCCTATGCATGTCCAGCATCGAACAGTGTACGCACCAATTCACCACAGGAACATGCACATTCACTCAGTGCTGCATGCAGCCTGCCACCTACAGAGAACGGCAGAATTCTAAAGGAGAAAGAAAATTTCTGGAAAGGCAGAAACAGATACACCAGGGATGAGATAAGCATTTTCCTGGGATGAGCTGCCTGGGGAAAGTCCACTTGGAAGAGGTACCTAAAAGAAGGGACAACGTGACAAGGTGTCCTGCCCTCCTACACACCCTTCCCACCATGCGCTCAGGGGCAAAGAGAGCACCCTCAGAGCGCTTCGGACAGCTCCTTCCCGAACACGGGGCTAGTCCCCCCCCACCCCCCCCAGCACGAGGCCCACAGCCCCAGGAGCTGGGTAGTGCCCAAGAAAGCAGACAGATGGGAGCAGGCTGAACGGAAATCGTGCTACGAGCAGTCTTGGCCCACTGGTAGCAGCTGCTCAGAACTCTGAGATGAAGGCAGGGGTGGGGTCAACAGCCTCACTTTGTTCAAAGATTCATAAATTTGAGTCTGCAGTCATTGTTTCCGCTAGCTGATGGACACATGATTTATTCTGCTACAAATAAGCCTACTCTGAACTCACTAGACGCATCTTGTTAAAACCTAATGAGATGAGGTCCATTTCTGTCAAAGATACATCGCTCCACCTCAAAGCACATGCATTTTCTCTCTTCTAGAATGCTGCCTGGATTACCCTCCCCTAAATCTGCCACATATAATTATGACAACGAGGGGGCAATTACAATCAGTCTTGGCCCTCCAACAAGAAGTATATTTAATAAGCAGTAACGCCCTGACTTAATATCCAAATGTGATCCACAGGCAAGTTTTCATGACAAATTACCATTTCATATATAATTTAGCTGGTTACAAAGTACAAAAGAACTGTGTAATTTTCTTCAAAAGAATCATACCTTTTGATCTTCGATCTCTTGTTCTTTTAGTAGTCGCTCCAGGTCAGCCATATCATTATGCTTAAATAACTTAATGTCACTCCGAGATGCCTGTAATCCTTTCTGAATGGCAAAGCAGGCAGCTCTATCCCTGCAGGAAGAAAGAATCATCAAAGTGGGGTTTCAGCGGCCTCATCAACTTTCTCAGACAAGAAACACTTGCTTTTCTGAAAGGAAGTTTTTCTCACCCAATAACCATTTTTTAACATAAACAAGACAAATATTCTTGAGCATTTATACATCATGCTTGTACTTCTCTGAGTCTACTTCACAGAATTATAGTATTAATTCTGTTGCAGGAGGCTCATTTCTGCCACATTCTACCATCTAGGAAATCAGCATGCACCTTACTGAGGAGGTAGATCACTGGCTCACTCACCATGGCTTCTCTTCCAGAAATCATGAAACACTGGTGCATCTCAGTGTCAGAGTTGAACAGGACAGTGATTCTACATGACTCAGGGGAAAACTCAGGGTCCTAGATATTAGATTTCCGTAAACTCTTCTAATCTGGGTTAACCAGAGGAAAATCTTTTTAAAATTAAGTTAGATCACTTGATAGTACATTTTGCTTCTAGGATGATGAAGCTGACCTTCTTGCTACTTCTCGCTAGGTACAACTTAAAACCCTGTCACGGACAAAGAGATAAATCCCAAAGACCTGAAAAGGTGGAAAGAAAAGGGAGCCTACCTAGGGACCTAGATATGACATGGTTCCTTAGATTTTTTTAAGCAACTCTTGCTACTGCAGTTTATAATTCTTCAACACAGGGCTTCATGCATACATTCTGACACCACACCCGTCTCCTCCTACCACTGTCTTTGGTAACCAATCGACCCCCCCCCCCCCCCCCCCCCCCCCCGGCTCCAATTTCTCACTGCCCTGGTAAGCTCCATTCTGTACAGCAGTCCTTAGATTTCTGTAGCTTTCGGCCATTTGTTGTTTTCTTTCTATGGGTTTATATCCCACATATGAGACATCATTCTGTGCCCGTCCCACTCCTCTGGCTGCTTCCACTCAGCAGGACCCATAGCCCCACCCGTATCAACATGGTCTCCTAGCACCATCCACATGGTGGCTAGCTGCATGACTCTATCTTCTTATAACCACCCAATATTTCATTATGTGCATGTAACGTAGTTTCTTTACCCAATTTTTTTCAACACTGGGTTGTTCCCAGATTTTAGCTACTGTGAATAGCACTGCAATGAAGATAGGAGTTGCTCCTTTCTAAGTAGAGGTTCAGGCCCTTCAGCAGAGTTTTTGGACCCCTGGAGAAGAAGATGCCCTGCATTGGAACTGCTGATCACATGGACACTCTACTCCTGGCCTTTAAGGAGTGTCCCATATTGTTTTCTTAAGGGCTGTACCAGCTGATATTCCCACCAGCAGTGACCAAGGGTCCTGAGTACCTTTCCCTGTACCCACACCTGCTCTCTCTGTGATGTGTGCCAGTCGCTTTGGTGGACAGTGGGAGCTCACTGTGGCTTTGATTGGCATTTTCACATGATCAGTGACGCACAGTATTTTTCATCTACATTCTGGATCTCCAGATATTCTACAACACTTTCATAAAAAAATCAGTCTTGTGTCAGATGAGTGGTGGGCAATATATTCTTTTCTGGTCTTTTTATTCTGGCCATCATTTCTTTTGTGGTGCAGCTTCTTAATTTGATGCAATGCCATTTGTTTATCTTTGCTTCTGCTTGCATGGCCAACAGCACTGAACCATTGATTTAATGTCACAAAGAGTTCCTGGGATTTTCTCAAGAACTGCTGAAACTGGCAAATTGCAAATGCCAATGGGCACAGACAGAAAGCTTTAACAAAGTCTTCTTTCCAAGGAAGGGGCATTCCAGCAAATGTCAGAGCTCTATGTAGCCAAGCTCCAGAAAAAAGCAAACTATCTTATCCCCTGCCCTCCAATCAGCAAAGGCTGAAGGGAGACCCAGACTCTAACCACTGAGAGGTGGCAACAAGGCACCTGAGCTGAACTTCCCTCCCTGCTGGATGATGGTCAGTGAGTGGCACCTGCTGGGTTGTCAATGTGTTCTTGAGGTTTGAGTTTGGGCTGAGTCGCGGAGACTCAGTAAAGAGGAAGATTCCACCGACATCCAGAGGAAATGAAAATATCAGCTGACCCACCCATCCCTGTGTCATGAGGACCCTGGACTTGGACCTCTTCATCTGCAGGACAGAGAAGAGGCTCAGCATCCATCTCTGTGGGTAGAGAAAGTGCATGAAAGCAGAAGTTTCAAGTGATGTTTGGAGTAAAACAGCATAATATGAAGATGTACAAGATTCAACCAGACTTTCATGGTCCTACCAAAAGCCAGAAAATATGGAAGACATGAAATGAAAAATTAAAGAAAATAATGAACAGATGCCACTGCGAGCTCGAGAGTAGCCTGATAATTACTCTAGTCAATATATAAAAAATAATTCCAAAGAGCAATTCTGAATAGGCTTGAAACAATGAAAAACAAAGAGCAAAAAATCCTAAAACTCCCAAACAGAAAGCCTCAGCAAAGAAACAAGAAATTCCTTCAGAGATTCTAAATAACAACAATACTAAAAGATCTTAATGGTGAACTGTGAGCTGGGGAGCGAACAATGGGGCTTGCACCACTGCCTCCAGCTGAGCCTGATTCCTAGCACAGCACTCTCCTCACTCCCCCAGGGCCATCAGAGCTGGGAGTAGTCTAGATCTAAAGTCTTTACAAAGGGTCGCTGGGTCCCAGAAGCACTGCCTGATCAGCACAATGGCCTAAGCATAAGCAGAGAAGAATCAGCAGAGAGAGGAAAGAGCAGAGCCCCAGGGACCTGCAGAACTACAGTAGAAGACTTAACATCTGGACCAATTAAGTTCCACTCAGGGCTTAAAAAGCACCCAAAGAAACAGTGGAAAATATTCCAAATTTGACAAGAGCTAAACTATCAAGTTAGCAAAACTTGAGAAGAAAACCAAACAAATAAATGCCAATTACAGTCAGATTTCTGAAAATTAATAATGAAAGTAACCATAGAAAATGAGACCTCACGAAAGGGAAAAAGTAGTATGAGTGACAATAAGGTAAAGGTAAAGGTAAAGGCCCTCCTGTTGATCGTCGATTTTCTCGAGCGGGCCCAGTAACGTCTCCATTGGAGACTTTGTTGTTACTGTGTCTGGCATATCGAATACTCTCGGTAGCTTGCCGGGCTCTCCGAGAGGGGCGGAGGAATCGAACTCGGGTCGGCCATGTTGGCCGCTTGTAAGGCGAACGCCCTACCCGCTGTGCTATTGCTCCAGTCCAGTGACAATAATATTCCTTATTAGAAACACAGAAGTCAGAGAAAAGTATGATGATACACTGCAAGTTCCAAAAGACTATTAACTTACAATGCAAATGTCAAAAAGATAAAAAAGAATCCTACAATCAGCAGAAATATTCTTTAGGAATAAAGTGGAAATCACGAGACTGCCAGCTGAAGTCAGGAGAATCTGTCCTCAGATAAAGAAAATAAAAGAAAGCATCAGGAAGGAAGAATGAATACTTATGTAAAAAGTATAGACAATACCCTAGCTTTTCTTGCCTGAGTTTTCTAATTTTAAAGTGAAACACTTATTTAAAAGAATTATAAATGAGGAGTTGAAGAAAGTACAGAGGAGGGGGCTCTTGCCTTGCACATAGCCATCCTGGGTTCATTCCCAGAATCAAATATGGTTCCCTGAGTGCCACCAGGAGTGGTCCCTGTGTACAGAGCCAGGAGTAAGCTCTGAATATAGTTGGGTGCGGCTCGGCCCCACCTACCCAAAACAACAACAACAAGTTATAAATGAGAGTAAAGGAAAATGAAGGTTTTCACTTGAACTAGTAAAGTGATTTCAGAGTAGGCTGTGGTAACTTGTGCATATATAATTCAATATGCAGAACTGTCACTGTCACTGTCCTCCCCTTGTTCTTCGATTTGCTCAAGTGGCCCCAGTAACGTCTCCATTGTGAGACTTGTTACTGTGTTTGGCATATCGAATATGTCACGGGTAGCTTGCCAGGCTCTCCGAGAGGGGTGAAGGAATTGAGCCCGGGTCGCCCGGGTTGGCTGCATGCAAGGCAAACGCCCTACCTGCTATGCTATCGCCCCTGAACAAAAATCCTATACACCCAAAATATAAAGGCAAATAAAAAATGGAAATTAAAACACATCCAATTAACCCCAGAAAGTGAGAAAGAGAGCAAATAAAAAAATAAAACTGCAAATTTAAATTCAAACAAATCAACTAATAATTACATTAATGCAAAGGGCCAAAACACACAATTTAGAGAATGTCAGAGTGAATCATGACCCAAGTGCAGCCTGATTATAAGAAAGTAATTTCAAATATAATCACATGCGTAAATCAAATGCGTAAATATTAATACAAATGCAGTAAGTATACCAAGCAAACATCTGCAGGAAAGCAGGGGTACCTACATAATATAACCAATTGTAGACTTTGTAACCAAAATATGTATAAGAAAGACATGACATACTAAAATGGTCCATTACTCACAAAGCTTATCTTAAATTATTTACCAAATAACAGAACTAGGAAATAAGCAAAATCTGATGAAAGTGAAAGGAGGATGAGATTAATCACAATTACAGTTGGAGACTTCCCCAGCCCTCTCAACAATGCATACAACTACTAGACAGAGAGCATGGATATGGTAGAGCTAAATCCCACCACAACATAGCTGGATGTATGGAGCACTCTATTAACAACAGGGCATACAATTTTACTGACCAGAGAACAACTCCTAAGAGAGACCATATCACAGGCCATAAAACATAGCAACAAACGGGAACTCACCAACCAAAACTAACTCACACTTATCAATAATCCATGGGTCAAAGAGAATGTCTACAAGAAAATAAAAATTATAATAAATCAAAATAAAGACAGACAACAAAATTTGTGGGGCACAAATAGGGCAGTGCTGGATGGGAAAGTGAATGCATATATATATATATATATATTTTTTTTTTTTTTTTTTGCTTTTTGGGTCACACCTGGCGATGCACAGGGGTTACTCCTGGCGGTGCTCAGGGGACCATATGGGATGCTGGGAATCGAACATGGGTTGGCCGTGTGCAAGGCAAGCGCCCTACCCGCTGTGCTATTGCTCCAGCCCCAAAATGCATATATTTCAAGAGAGAAAAAAAGCCTGAAATCAATCACTGACATTCCTACCTCAAAAACCTAGAGAAAGAAAAGCACAATAAACCCACAATGAGCAGAAAGCAAGACATGACAAATCAACAGAACTGAAAATGAAAATACAGTGAACAAAAATTAATGAAACAAAGAGCTAATTTTTTTTTTTTGCTTTTTGGGTCACACCCAGCAATGCACAGGGGTTACTCCTGGCTTTGCACTCAGGAATTATTCCTCGCAGTGCTCAGGGGACCACATGGGATGCTGGGAATCGAGCCCAGATTGGCCACGTGCAAGGCAAATGCCCCACCTGCTGTGCTATCACTCCAGCCCCATAGAGCTAATTCTTAAAAAAGAAAAAAGATCAATAAACTAACTTGCTAACAAGACTGAGAGTACATATAAATTCACCAATCAGAATTCAAACCAGGCCTGAGTTTACATTGGGCCAGAGCGATGTCATAGCGGGTAGGGCGTTTGCCTTGCATGCATCTGACCTGGGTTCAATTCCTTCGCCCCTCTCGGAGAGCCCGGCAAGCTACCTAGAGTATTCTGCCCACACAGCAAAGCCTGGCAAGCTACCCATGACGTATTTGATATAACAAAAACAGTAACAAGTCTCACAATGGAGATGTTACTGGTGCCCGCTCAAGAAAATCGATGAACAACGGAGGACAGTGCTACAGTGCTGTAAACATAAAGAATACGCCATATATAAATCTGACAATTTAATTCCTTGAAAACACGAACTATTTCAAGTCACCCACTACAATGTAGATAACCTGAATAGCCTCACGGGTACTAAGAAAATTAAACTCATAAATAAATCTCCAGACCCATTTAGTTTTACCGAAGAGTTCTACTAAACATTTAGAAGTTAACAATCATTTTATACAACTCCTCGAGAGTAGTAAAGGAGGAAGTCTAGTACTAGACCAAGTACTAGACTGACTGATCAAAGCAACATCAAAGAATAAAGTACCAAAGAAGCAAACATCATTAGTCATTAGGAAAACATAAAACCGCAATGAGACAAACGCTATATGCCTTTCAGAATGAATAGATTAAAAAAAGAGAAGAAAATATAAGGAAGAAGAAACACAAAATAATTCCCTAAAAAAGTGCTAACCCCTAATGCTCCTCAATGCTTCTGAGTCTTGAGAAGCGGGATCCCTCCACAGCTCAGGCACAGGTGACAGTGGAGAGGAGACAACACAGTCCTGGGAAGGTGCTGTGGGTCTGTGGCTGATGGTGGCACATGGCCCCACAGGGGAGGCTGCCCTACTCTCTCCCAGGAATACTAACTCTATCATCAGACCCAAGTGCTGGACAGGTGACCACAGGGAGGGCATCCTGGACACACTTGAGCACAGCTCAGGAGGGGCCAACAGCATCAAAGCCCCCTCAATCTAAAATCCCTGAACTCCGAGGCACAGAAGTCTTGAGAAAAAAATCTTCTGTTCACAGAAACACTGTACGAACGTTCAAGACAGTCAACAGATAACAACACTGATATCCCTGGGGAAGAATGGATCAACAACTCCAGCGCATCATGCCAGGAAAGCACTCAACAGTCCAAGGGAGGAACTCTTCACAGAAAGGCGCCATCTGGATGCACGTGTGGAGAGTCCATGCTGAAGGACCAGTTTCTTCTCCAATGCTGAAAGTATAACCATATCTACAGAACTCTGGTGTGACAAACTAGGAAACGAAGAACAGTTTGCCTATGGCTGAGAGGTGTTGACTGATGTGACTCCAATCTTCTCAGTCATAACTGTATCTATCGGTGGCAGTATTAGTTGTGACTCTAGGTTAAATTTCTGTCAGATGCAGCTACTGAGGAGACTGGAAAAGAATATGGAGGATATCTGAATGATATCCCACAATGCATAGGAATGGATACATGTGCTGTTTACTGCAGATGAATTAACTGCAGTTACTTCATTAGAGAAGTGCATATTGATCTAAAAGACAAAAGCCTCAAATCATCACTAAGCTGAGAATTACCACTAGCAAGCACTGTCACAATTCACTAAAAGGAAGAAACAGGTCATTGGACATACCATCTCTGCCTAATAAAAACAACCTATCAGTGTACCAAGTGCTAGTTTTCACTTCAATGTTTCTACCGTCAATGAATTTCAGCAGAGCATTTAAAATTATGTAGGAGAGAATAAGAAGTTGTCTAAACAATCACCAGATACTGATCTTTAAAGGACACTAACTAGGTGTAATATTTGGAAGTTAATTTAAGCTGCATTTCCTAGCAATGTAATTTGATATTGTTCTTTGGTTCTCATTGCCAGGAAATGCAAACTAAATTCACTTCTACATATTACAGTGTCAAAAAGAACAGTTTTAAATTACTTATCCGACATAGGATGCATACAAGTTCACTTCTAATCACTTTCGTTACTGTAATGACTTTACAATGGGTTATTTGTATAAAAGTGATCATGATATAATATAGTTGCTTGTAACTATTCTTTTACCAAAACCCTAGGATTTCAATCATTGGCTTTCAAGTTTGTGATAAGAAGACTTATCTATCATTTGATTTCTAAATGATGTTCAAAAAACTATGAAAACATTCACTTTCATGGTCCCAGGAGAAACCATTACTACTCAGCCCAGGCCCTAAGTGCTGGAAGCCTGCCAGCAGGGGTTCTAGCCACAGGGAGAAGGCGCTGGACCACCCTGGCACCCAGAAAGGCCAGCTCAAGTCCACTCATCCAGGCCCACCTTTAGCTCCCACCTCCATCTCTGCTTTACTGCACTAGGATACAGATACAGAGCATTACTGAACGGCAAATGCTGCAGGGAGTTAGGGACTGTCCTAAACCTAAATGCAGTGAATGAGGACAGGGAGTCGGAAGTAAGACAACTCGAGGGTTGACTGTATGTACTGTGACGCATGAATGCATGCACGTGCTCATGTGCTAAGAAGCAGCCTGAGGAGCACTGACCGTGACAGGCAGTGTGAGAGTCTGGTGATCACAGGTCACTAAGCTAATAATCTCTAGTTGGAAGATTTTTTCCTGCATGAGCAGGGGTCTTGAGCAGAACTGAGAGGGTGAAGGATTCCCTGCAGAAGAGACACATGTGCAGATGAGCTGAATGAAGATGAGAAGAGGAACAAGCATGTGTAACAGCCTGGTGGTGGGAGGAACAGAGGTGTGTGGAAGGACAGCAGGATCACCTCAGGATAAGGCCATCACACAGAGCCTTGGTCTTTATTTCAGAATCAAGGATGTTCTTAATACTGTTTGAAATCTGCTATGTGCATTTAAATTTCTTTTTTGAGGGCATGGGGGAGGATGAGGCATCAAGCCCAAGGCCGGAAACATGTGAAGCATCTCAGCTACACCCTTGGACCCCGGATCTGCCTTTTTAAGATTTTTCTGGTTATGGTATTAAAGAAGAGAGAAAATTAAAATAAAAGTGAGCCCAATAGCCTGCTGGAAGAGGTAGGTGATGGCGGACCCTGCCTGGCTCAATCTAGCTCCTCGGCACCAATAAATAAAATGACAACAGTAGAGAACTGACCGGCCACATCTGTATGCATTCTTCCTGTGAAGGCCTTACAGAATCTACAGAATTACCTGGCTGGGACAACTGTGTATTTCTTGAAAAGGAAACAACAATTAAAAAAAAAAAAATCAATGGTGTCTCAGGCAGATAGTCTCTAACAAAAGCATTCCCTATGGGAGCCAGCATATTTCCAAAGGAGTTCTGATGGAGAAGGCAGGTGAAAAGGAACTCACACAAACACAATGTCCCCTCTCTTGGAGTAGGCGGGAATAGCACTGGCGATGGTGGCGAATCCATATGAGTAGATGATGGCTTCTTCTGTCTTCATGAATTTGGCGAGGCGGTCCTCCAAATCCAAGTGCACATCTATGTCAACAGAAAGTTAAAACGGTTCAACTGTCTAACAGTTTTCTCTTCTAATAAAGAGTGAAAATAACACAAAAAATTTGCAGCTTAATTTATTAAGCTTTCACTTAATGACTAAAATAACTGTTCTGCTGTTCATGCTCTAAGCAACCTACTGAAATCATTCTAGGCCAAAACAACTCCTAAAATTTGCTAACTAAATGGGCTTTTCTATTACCAGGTATCTCTGACTGTGGATTCTGCTTTCTTATCACTCCACTGAAAGAGATCAAGACTGAGCCATACTCCTTGCTGTATCCCCTCAACCCACACTGTGGCTCGGCCAGACATGACATCCAGTCGTTAATGCCTCAGAGTCAATAATGCATTTTAGCAGAAGGGGCCAAACTAGGGAGTCAGGCAACTATTCACCACCTTGTCAGAGGAAGATGACAGAAGGGAAGAGTAGCGTGTAAAACATTCTGCACATGCTGTCAAAACAGACGAAATGAAACCAAGCAGTCTGACAGCCTGAGCCAGCATCTAGTGAGGCAGCTGGCATCCCTCGGCAGGATGAGCTTCTGCCTGCGTTTCTTCTAAGTGGTCCAGGGATCTCAAATACACAGCACAAAGAGGTCCCGTTTCAGAAGCAGCTTAAGAACTTGATGGAACAACGGGGAAGTTTGAATTATGGGCCATTCCCCCCCCCCGCCCCCACCCCCCAGTACAATGAGGTACTCAAGTCTTTCATTTTCCCAGCTTTAGTTAGTGAAGCTACAGGCCTGGGACGGGGGGGAGGGGGGAGGATCAGCACCACGTAGGAAAGCAGTCTGTCAGGTGGCTCTGAGCAGGAAACTTCAGAAAAGGAAGGGCAGCACTCCCAGGAGAAAAGCACATGGCTCTGCTACCACAGGAGCTGAAGAACTAGATTCCAGGGTCTGGTCTTAAAACCTGCCCCCTTCCCACTCCACGGCAGTGCTGTGGAGTGGGGCCATAGAGAAGAGCTCAGCCTTCCTGCCCAACAGCACGCGGCCAGTGGCACCTGGGGACCCTCCAGGGCCACACTCAAGAGATGTTGGGGTAACAAGAGCTTCTGGTGCCTGGGATGGAACCCGGGGCCTTGCAATAGCCTACATGATACTTCTACAGAGTGTCCAGCACAGGAGAACTCAGAAGCAGCCACATGAATGATGTGCTCAGACCCCAGTCCAGCCAGGCATTGAGAGACGAATGACATGAGAGGTAGTGTACGCAGACTCTAGAGAGTGTGGAAGGTGCCCGCAGCCACTGAGGGAAACTCTGCAGCCCTACAGGAAGATTGGCAGAGATGAGGCGGCAGCAGTGTCTACCCGCCTGTGTGTGGGCATTGTCCCAGGCCCATACTCAGCACCAGGAGCAGGTAGGACAGCCCTGCATCCCTTTAGGGACAGGTAGTCTCCACATTTGAGTGGGGAAGGCTGAGAGACCAAACAGACGACTTTCTCCCCTCAGAGCTGGACCCGAACTCAAGAGCTGCACAGAAGGGGATCAAGACCCAGTGACCCTCAGGGATGAGCTGTCTGCTGCTGTCAGGGAGGGCATGGAGCAGCACGAGCACAGCTGTAACTCCTGCGAGCTCCTGAACAGAGACCAAAATGGTCTTGGCAGTGAGGCTCATCTCCCTGTGAGGCCATGAGACAACAGAATGAGGATCTGAAAGCTGCCACCTGTAAGGATCAAAAATAGACACAGGGCTGGTGCGATAGTGCAGTGGGTAGGGCATTTGCCTTGCACATGGCTGACTCGAGTTCGATCCTGGTTGTCCCATATGGTGCCCTGAGCACCTCCAGCAGCAATTCCTAAGTGAAGAGCCAAGAATACTCCCTGAGCATTGCCGGGTGTGACCCAAAAAGCAAAAAATAAACAAAACAAAAAGACAAGATGGGGTGTGTGTGTGTGTGGGGGGGGGGGATGCCACAATTCTCTCAGTGTTTCACTGGACTTGCAGATACTCCTCCTCTCACCTGACAGTGTCTGGTGCCACAACTTAGGGAAGACTGCCAGCTGATTCCAGAGAATTTGAGCCCAAGCTGCAACCTGACCTCTTGGACCGATGCTTCTGGGCCGCCATGCACAACCAGCACACCAGCAGCCACTTCTGACTAAATGTCCATGGATGGCACGCGACTGTGAGTCAAGAGTGTGTGATACAGCTGTCCAAACTAGATTTCCCAATGTGGCCAACACTGCCCCCTGGGGGCCCTGGAACAATCTGCGAGGCAGCAAGTAGCTTTGGGTGGAGAGGGAGTGCTTTAGCTTATTTTAAGAAGGGAGTTTCTAGGGGTATACCTAATAAATTCATTTTCTCAGGTCAAATAGTTACAGTGAGGAAGTAGAACATTTTGAATCTTTACAGAAAGTGAAGCGAACTGAAGCTCACTTTACTTGCATACTTTTTTTCGAGGAGGTACTGCCTCCTATGCCACACAAAACATTTTATTTCCATCACCATGTGCTAGTTAGAGTCATTTCAGGAAATAGACACGCTTATTGTATCATTAAACAAACATGGAACTTCGCAATAGCCAAATCTAGAGATTATAACAGTTGTCCTATGCCTCAGACCTACATTATCACCGACTCCTTCTTCAGTGTCCTGGGAATTAACTCCACCCCGGAGTGCCTGCAGCTTTCTCCAAGATGCTGCCAGTAGAAGTTTAAGGCAAAATCTGGCAAGGAAGAGAAAGCAGCGAAACAGCACAGAGCAGCCTAGATAACCTTCCTCAGAGAGCGCTGAGGGTCCTGGCCCCCCTCACTGTCGCAGGAAAGCAAGTCAAGGTAGGCCGTCCCGCCCAATGCCCACGCTTTCTCTACCCTGAGTGTATCTCGCACCCTGCCCTCCCATACCACCCCCGCGACCTTCTCGCAAATTAGCCACAGAAAACCCAAGCCGCGTGGAGCTGCGCTCACTCAGCGTTTCCATTCCTCAAAGGAAAGCATGCTATGGGGACAAGTTAACCAAAAAGGCTCAGATCCTTCTGCAGGTCTAAAGGACCTCTTGGACTGGTGATATGACAACATAATCTTTGCTTTTTTCAAGGTTTTAAAGCTAGCAAGCTACCCACATGGTAAAAACTGGCACATCTATGCTTTATAGCTCTTTCTTTGGTGGGGGGGGGGGGAATAGTTTTGTTCAAAGAAATTAACTTAGAGAGTGAAGGAAGAGAAAAGTGTGTTTCAGAAGGAAAAGAGGCTTCTCCAGGAAGGAACAGCCTATACCCTGTAGCCAGAAAGTGGTCTGAAGTGTCAATGACTTACTGGTTCCCGCCAAGTCCTGGAGCCTGGAAAAAAAGGCCTTCTCTCCCTCCAGAAGACCTGGCCCTGCCACTGCTGTGCTGCAGAGCCGGTTTTGTAGGGGGGTGACTGGATGCTGCAGGACTTCTCCTGGATGTTACAACAGCGACTCTGTATGGTGCAGACATGCTCTCGCCAAGTGAGGGGAGCGGCATGCCCATGGCCTCCTCTCAGATTCCTGTTCTTCTACTCTGCTGTGTAGGATCTACCATTGCACTAACTGGTGGCACAGATGTGCCAGGAGCAGAAGGCAACCCCTGCCTTCTCCAATTCACTTCCCCAATTCTACAAACAGGAAAAACTGGGGAGGGAGGTGGTGGAAGGTCCTTTCCCTACCCAGCACTCCCTGCCCTTTCAGGCGTCTGCTGCTCCGGAAGGACGTCATGCAGGCCAGGTCAGGGAGACCATCTCAAGGGGTTCAGAGGTGGACCTCCTCAGTGCAGGTGTGGCCCTGTCAGACCTGTGCCTCTCAGGCCCCTCTGGCAAACAGGCAGCAGTGTCTCGGGATCAGAGGATTACTAGGAGCTAGAAAAAAACACTCAGAACAAGGCCTGACCAAGAGAAAGAAAGATGCTGCCTATCAAAGAAAACAGAATTTAGGAAACTGAGAAACTTTTTTCTTTTAAAAAGGAAAAACAACTGGGGCTCTAGTGATAGTATAGTGGACAGGGTACTTTCCTTGCATGTAGCTGACCTGAGTTCAATCCCTGACATCCCTTATGGTTGTGAGTGCTGCCAGGTGATCCCCGAGCACAAAGCCAGGAATTACCCGAGTTATCGCCAAGTGTGGCCCAAAACAAAAAAAACCAACCAAAATAGGGAAGCAATTATTTTTTTCTAACTACATTACCAAAACCCTGAAAAATTAAGGACAATTTTATAATCAGTTTTCTCTCATTTATCTAACATGGTTCCTTATTCTGGTAATTTGATGCTTGATGCTCTAACACCATAATCATAGCCTCTTATCCTGGTTTTCTGGACTCTGAAGACTTAAGTATTCAACTTTAGAGCAATTTAAAAATAATCAACCATCAATGTTTTCTCCCAAGGCTTGTTTTTGTGATTTATATATGCCATATTTTTGAAACATGGACAATTTTAATTAATTAAATTAGAACATGAATACAGCGCCAAAATTAGGCTACTCAAATGTCTTCACGAGCACTATCTTAATGGGATTCTTGGCAGAACATTCTAAGTGGTGTCAGCCAGGGCTGTTCCCGGCCCATCCTTGTGGAAACTATACCCCTTGACGGTTCAGTCCCACCTGGTCCCGGCGGTGTCTGGGGGATAATGCATCACTGAGGCCTGAATCACAGGCTCTAGCATGTGACACGTGTGTTCCAGCCTGCTTAGCTCTCTTTCTGACCTGTAAGGATCATATTCATACCAGAAAAATTCCAGTGTGGTGAGAGTGGTCTTTTCATTCCTGAAAAATACCTGAGTACACTACTTCAGGAATGCGGGTGAGGATGGGATCAGGCACAAAATGGAAGCTGTTTTGGTGGGCCCCAAAGAGAGAGAGAGAGAGAGAGAGAGAGAGAGACATACACACTAAACTCTTCATGGTTATATTAGCAACTTCAAACAAAAGAAAGGGCTCCTACTTGCTCTATTCTCCCAGAAGCATATATTCAGAGTAACTGAGCTATAGGAGCCCCTTCAGAGATTTAGCCTGATTAACCACAACCTTTGTCAAGATGTTAGCCTGGACTTCGGCTGAAGCCGGGTAAGGATGACCCAGAGAGCAGAGGGGTCAGCAGACACCTGCATGTTCTTCCTTCAACCTGTGAGAAACACACACCTAGGAAACTAGACCCAATTTGAGTTTTAAACACACTTCAACAGCAGGGACAGAACTCGTGTACTCTGTACCAACATTTCTGTAAGAAACGGGAGACAGGAGGACGAAAAAGGCTTGAAATGCTGACAAAATCCCTCGAAGAACTGCTAAGGGAGCTGCCTCCTATGCAGGGATAGGCAGTGACTTCTCCCTCTTTATTTCTGTGATGTTCTGAAGTCTGTATACTAACCTGTATCCCTCAATCAAGAAAACCAATGAAATCTAAGTTATTAACCTACACACTATGTTGAAGCACAAAACTGGGCAATTTTTATTTATCTCCAAAGTTGCAAAAAAGCAGGTTTTGAAAATCTGAAGTGTTTTCCGCACAACTTGATTAGCAATGGATCTCTCGCCTATTTTCTCAGATTAACTCCACAGCAAGTACTATGGCCATACATGCAAATAAAGTCCTCTAAATAGGCTTTTAAAAAAGCATTCTTTTTTTTCAAGCAAGCAGATCACAGGAAGCCTTGCTAATTAGACAACAAGCATGAAAAAAAAAAGCTTTTCTTGGTTTCTAATACATATTGAGGAAATCATCCCCTACCAATAAAACCCAAACAGTCAACCATGTTTGCAAGAAACCAAGGGAGAGAGAGTCAGTTGGGCTAAAATTAAGGAGCTGTGTTTCTATAACAAAGTCAGCCAACCTCTATGAGCTCTCTTCTGAATAGCTAGGATGCTGAAGTCACGCTTTTCCTTTCCAGCTATTAGACTTTTTGACACTACTGTTTCTAATAGAAATGACTGAATTATGAGCTAGGATCAAGTTGCTCCCTTTAAAGTAAAAATCTTAACTGTTAAAGTGAAAGGGTGGAGGATGCCCCACAAAGAACCGGCCATGGCAATGAGCCTAGAAGGCAGAAGAAAAGACTGAGTTTGTTTTCTTATGCTCTGGGCACGTTGTCACTATAAGAGTGCTATGTCCTGACAAGTGTCAGATAACAATTATTTAAGACACATATAGACTTTCTGAAAGCAAAGAGTTAACATACACTTCACAAACCCCACGAAAGCAAGAGCTTTCCTTCACAGCTCTAAGGTAGAGTTTTAGGAGCCTGCAACCTCCTGTATTGATTCAGCCCGGTTGGGGCAAGGCACGCGCAAAAGAACGAAGCTTCATCTTCACTGCAGAAAAGAGAGAAGCAGAGCCTCTCAAGCCCCTCCTGGCACAGCTGCCTTTCTTCCTGGCCAGCACGAGGAGGTCATCCAGCCAGAGCGCCTAAGCGGCCTTCCCTATGTCCATCCAGCTCAAAGTTTCCTAACAGGGTGTGGTCAGGAAGACCAGCGACTCCAGCTCTAAGCCTCCTATACTGACCAGGTAGGCAAGGACCCCACCTGGAGATGGAGCCCGGCACAAGCCTGCAGGCAGAGCGACTCACAGCAGCTCAAACACTGCAGCACTGCACCGTGGGCCTGGCAACCATGTCTCCTCAGGTTGCATCTGCCACAGCAACCCAGACTTTACTCTTGGGGACAAGGCACCCAGGTCCCTGAGATCCCCCTGCCACAGCTGACACAACCCCAGGCTAATGAATTCACCCCCCACACAAACTGAACAGATGTGAGGAATCAGGTTAAGAAGCATCACCCAGCAGTTAGACCACAGCTGGTTAAGGGTGTCCTTTCCAGAGAGAAGCGAGAGAATTAAAATTCTGACTGAACAGAAGGTGCTAGAAACATACCAAATGTGCCATAGAATCCTCTAGGTCCGCACGTCCCCACGCCATACTTCTTTAGAGATGCCAAAGCAGCTGCCTGTGTGGAAATTTAAAAAAGATGTCTTTAAAATTCATCTTTAAGACTTTGAAACTGACTTTACTACTCCCACACAGCTCCTTCCTCTCCATCTCCTTCACTTCCCTTTTTTAGAATTAAGACATTCAAACAAGAGGACATAAAGAAAGGCAGGAAAGATGGTAAATTATAGGTGCAAAAGACTTAAATCATCTTAGAGTTTTAGTTCAAGTCTTAAGCCCTGGTAAACTCAATTCCTGCCCTTACACGTATTTCTGTGTGTGCGGGCATGCCTTTGCTCACAAATGTGCAGATGCCCTTAGGCCCACAGGGATTGGTGCAATTTCCTTGACACATCTCAGAATATCATCCATACAGCTCGCTGGCTGGCACCCAAAACTGAGCCACAAGAGACTGTTACCACCCTGTGCTGAAACACAGATGACACCTGTGTCAGAGGAACAAAGGCCAAAGAGTCTATAGCTGTCTCTTTTCCACTGTTTAACTGTTACAGCTGAGATCATGTTTACCAGTGTTAAGGAATATGATCCTTATGCACACTGTTACCACACCTCACCACCCAAAGTGCCCAAGACTCTCCCCAATGTCTCTACGGTACTTTTAAGCTGACTTAAAAGTACCTCTTCCACCCTGCTCAGTGCTCTGAGTTTTGTAAAAGGGTTTGCCATTGTTTGATACTATCATTCCTCTGGTTTTTTTTCCTGTATGTCAGAGATATATGAGGTCATTCGGTATTTGTTCTCTAACTTATTTCGCTTACATGACGCTGTGCAATTCCATCCAAGGAACAGTGAACTGCAAGATTCCACCTTTTCCTACAGTGGCCCAGTGTTACTGGGTGTGTATACCACAACTATTTTTTTCTTTTTTTTTCCTTTAATGCAGGAGTACTGCTACCACAACTTTTTAATCCATTCACCTATCACTATATATCTTTTCAACACATGTGATACTTACCTTGACCCTAGGGTTATCCAACAATCCAAGAAAATTAAATGAGGCAAAGTTCACACACTTTTTTCCATTCACCACAATATTGTGACTTGGAGGCCTAGGAAAAGACACAAGAGTGCACACTTCAGCAATTGGGGCAAACATAGGCTCCAAGTATGGGAGATGATATTCCAAGCAAATAACTTCTTAAAAAGGCTGGTGGACATACTTATATCATACAACATAAACTTCAGGCGCTCTTTTTTAAATTTATTTTTAAATTTTTATTAGTGAAACACCATGAGGTATAGTTGTAGACTTACAAATTTTGTATTTTTTTTTTAAAGAGTGTCAGGGATGGTAATTTCTTAATGATCCAGAGATATATTCACCAGGAAGAACTCACACTCCTAAACATTTATGCACCTAATGAAGGACTAGCAAAATACCTAAAACAACTAAAAGACTGAAAATACTGACAGTAACACAGTAGTAGTGAGGTGTCAACACTGCTTTTTTCACCTCTAGATAGATCAACTAGGCTAAAACTCAACAGAAACTCAGATTAAAGAATGACAGGGGAAAAAACTGGCTCTTTATCACCAAATGTTGAATACACATTTTTCTCCAGTGCACCTTGGGACATTCTTCTAAACAGACCACATGTTGGGTCAAAAAACACACCTTCATAAAATCAAAAGGACAGAAATTTTATCAAATATTCCCTCAGAAAATGAATGAACTTGAAAACTTGAAAATGGAAGTCAGAGAAATAGGGAAAGAGATCTCAAACACTTGGAAAACAACCCACTACTAAACAACCAGTAATCAAAAAAGAAGTTCAAGAGGAAATTGCAGGATTCCTGGAAACAAGAATGAAGACACAAGCCACCAGAACATAGAGAACACAGGAAAAGCAGTGTTAACAGGACGTCTATAGCAGAAACACAACACAGTGTTATACGTCACCACTAAAGTCATCAAGTATGTTCAGTTGAAAGGAAGGGTCACACAATTAACTATACAGCTTATCAACTAAAAAATACCAGCAAAACCAAACAGAAGGAAGGAAATAATAAAAGTTAGAAATTAATGAGATGGAAACTAAAAATCAAATCAGAAAGAAAAGGGGAGACATCACAGCAGATACTACAGAAATTCAAAGTATCATCAAGGATTACTTTGAAAATCTTTAAGCCACAAAATAGGATAATCTATCTGAACAGACTACTTACTATTGAGGAAACTGAAATGGTAACAAACAAAATCTCAAAACCAAAAAAAAAAAACCAAGGTCCAGATGAATTCATGAGTGAGTTCTTCCAAATCTTTAAAGATCCACCCTCAATCCTTTTCAGACTCTCTCAGAAATTTGAAGGACCAGGAGTCCCTCCAAGTCCCCCCAAATAGCTTCTATGAGACAAACATTACCCTGATACCAAAAGCAGACAGAAACATCACAGAAAAGTCAAGTTAAAGACCCATATCTCTCATAAACATAGTTGCAAAAATCCTCACAAAATGCTAGCAAAGCGAATCCAACAATGACCATGTAAGATTCATCTGGGGAATGAAAGGATGGTTCAATACATGCAAGTCAATTAACAGAATATACAGCATCAATATAAGAAAAGACTTTAAAAATCATATGATCATATCAGTAGATGCAGAGAAAGCCTTCAACAAGATCCAACACAATATAGAGCCAATAAAATGGGAACTGAAGGAGCTTTCCTCAAAATAGTCATTTTACCACAGCAAACATAGTACTCAATGGTCAAAAATCAAAAGCCTTCCCTCTAAGATCATGCACAAGATGAGGTTGCCCACTGTTACCACTACAATTCAATATAGTACTTTAAGTCCTTGCCATAGCAATTAGGCAAAAAAGAGGTATTAAATTTTATTTGCAGAGGATGAGATACTACACTAGAAAAACCTTAAAAATGCCACTAGAAAAAAATACACTTGTACAGTAAAGTGGCAGGCTGCAAAATCAATAGGCATGATTGCATAATCAATATTCATTACTTTTCTATGAAAATAATAAAAAGAGAAATTTTTAAAAAATTTCAAATCGTGCTTGAGAAAATCACAGTGGGTAAGGCGTTTGCCTTGCACGCAGCCAACCCGGGTTTGATTCTTCCTTCTCTCTCGGAGAGCCCGGCAAGCTACCAAGAGTATCCCACCCACCAGGCAGAGCCTGGCCGGCTCCCCACGGTGTATTTGATATGCCAAAAACAGTAACAAGTCTCACAATGGAGACGTTACTGGTGCCCACTCAAGCAAATCGATGAACAATGGGAGAATAGTGCTACAGTGGTGCTGGAATAAGGACAGACCCTCAGACCAATGAACAGAACTGAGCATCTAGAGACAGATTCCCAGGTATATGGATAGTTAATCTTCAATAACGAAACAAATAGTATGAAGTGGAATAGTCTCTTCAACAAATGGTGATGAGATAACTGGTTGGTTACATGCAAAATAATGGAATGCAGACATAAAAGTCAAATTAAAATAGATTGAAGCTCTCAATATCAGACCTGAATCCACAAATTATATCAAGGGAAATATAGCTGAACACTCCAAGACAGTGAAATAAGAGCTATCTTCAATGATCAAAGCCAGTGGCCAAGCAGAAATAAACAAAGGGGACTACATTAAACTAAGAAGCTTCTGTACCACAAAAGAAATGAAGACCAGAGCAAAAAGAAACTTCACACAGTGGGAGTGGATTTTGGCCCAACATGCATCAGAGGGTTAATATTAAAGATACTTAAAAATATTGGTAGAACTTTATACGAGAAAAACAACGAATCCTCTCAAAAAATGGGAGGATGAACAGAAACTTTCTCAAAGAAGACATGCAGATGGCCAAGAGATATACCAAAAAACATTCTGTATTAGTTGTCATTAGGGAAATGCACATTGAAACAGAGATGAGCTACCACCTCACACCACTGAGACTGGCACACCACAAAGAACAAAACCATCAGTGCTAGTGTAGATACGGGAGAAAGGAACCCTCATTCACTGTCAGTGGGAATGTTGATTGGTCCAGTCTTTGTGGAAAACAATGTGGACACTCCTCAAAACATGAAGAATCAAACTTTCATATGACCCCGCAATTCCATTTCCTGACATCAAAAATCTATTCCAAAAAGACAGTCCTATGCTCATTGCATCACTGTTCAAAACAGACAAAAATCTGGAAAAAAATCCAGTGTCTAAAAACAGATGACTAGATAAAAAACAAACAAACAAAAACCCCGGTGGCTGTACATGTATACACGATACATATACACAATAGAATATGTATATGTATCATACTCAGCTATAAGACAAAACTAAAATTGTGAAATTTGCTGCTACATGGATGAATATAAAAATACGTGAGACATAATCAAAATAGGGGAGTAACAAATACCCGACAGGCAAAAAAAACTGAGAACTGGTCTTCAGTAGGAAGTTTACCACAGTGAAGGGAACTAGGATTGGTGGGCCCATGGGATAGTAAGTGAGGGTATGGGGGACGGCAGGTGAGGGTGTGGGAGGAAGACAGGTGAGGGTCTGAGGAGAGACTGTTATGCATGAAATGCTAGCATTAACTACTGTGATCCACAGTGCCTATAATAAAATTAAAGAAAAAGTAAAAATTACACAGCAGTATATGATAACTAGATAGTTGGCCATTAATTTTAGTCTTAATAGGTTACCGTGACCTGCTGAAATAAAAAGGTAATATGAGCTAGAATTTAAAGATGGATAAATGGCAGACCTTTGCTTTGGTTTTGAAAAACTGCTTAAAAATGAAGTAGCTAAATCAAGTACCTGGGCTGGGGTGCCGAGTGGGGTGAGTTTGGAGCAAGACGAAAGGAGCGGAAATTTTACAAAATCAAGAGCAGAGGCAGAGCAAGTTGCCATCTTTCCTTGTCAAAAGTTATCAACAGGAAGTGGGTACAGGAATCGATGGTGTTGCTGACCTAGGGTGGATACAGGAATGTTGTATCACTCGAGGAAGGGCAGGCACAAAGGACCAGGAACCGCAGAGCTCTTCCTGCAGGCATGCTCTAAAACACTCCTGAGCTACTGACAGATGCTGGGTGCTGAGATCAATTTCTCAGTTACAGCCATCAAATTTTTGTCTTTCAGGCCCAGGCCCAGGTACTCAGGACCAAGAATGGCAGCATGCAAGGCAAATGCCTTATCTGGGGCATAAGCACGCCTATTCGGGCTAGAGCGATAGCACAGCGGGTAGGGCGTTTGCCTTGCATGCAGCCAACATGGCTGACCTGAGTTCAATTCCTTTGCCCGTCTCGGAGAGCCTGCCTGGCAAGCTACCAAGAGTATCTCGCCTGCACGGCAAAGCCTGGCAAGCTACCCGTGACGTATTTGATATGCCAAACACAGTAACAAGTCTCACAATCTTACTGGACCTGCTCAAGCAAATCAATGAACAACGGGAGAACAGTGATAGAGTGATTTCGGCTAATGGATCGAGTGGAGCAGCAAACACCAGGAGGCATGGCACAGGGTAAGAGGAAGGACAGCAGCATGGAAAGATTCTGGTGATAAACTAGCACCACGTGACAGCAACGTGTCCTGCCTGGCTGCTCCATAAACGCACTGGAGGCAGAAAAGAATCAAGGAAACTGCTGACACTGGTCTTAGAAAACAACTGGTTTCCTCTAAGAACAGTAACCAAGGATGCTGAGAAGCCAGGGGATGAAAAGAATGACTACTTGTAAGCTGAGTGACAGCACGGTGAGTAAGTCACTGCCTTGCATGCAGAGTTCCATCCCCAGCAACCCACATGGTACCCTGAGCACCACCAGAAGTGATCCCTGAGTGCAGATTTGGGAGTAGACCCCGAGTATTGCCAGGTATGCCCCCCAAAACAAACTAAACCAAACCCCACTTGCAGAAAATTCACAAAAGCAGATTCATTCATAGAAAAGGCAAGAAGATCGGTGAGAAGCTGGGTGGCCGATGAGCCAGTGTCAGCTGCCACCAAGTGAGCAGGGAAAGAAAGACTCCCTCCTCTCAGGGAAAATGGCTTCATACTCACCCCGGGTGAGAAGAGGTGCCCTCTGGCTTCCTCCCTCCAGTCGTACA